CACCCCAGGCCCCAGAGGCTCTGGGTGATGGCTGGGTGCTGCTGTGCATGGGCAGTGCTGTGTGCAGTCCTGGCTGGATGGGACAGCCTGGCAGGGAGCACAGCTGCCTCTGGATCCCAGTGATATCTGCAGTGAGAGGAAAGGCATGTGTCTCTGCCTAACCTTGTAATCTTGCAGCCAACTTTTCAGTGCAGCTGGTGGGCTAGGGATCCACAGGCCAGGGCCCTGGCAGCCAGACCTGAAAGCAGATGAGATTCCAAATCAAGCCATCTGGACACAACAACACGCTCCAGCACCTCCAGCAGCTTCCCAGAGAAGAACCTAGGACACAGAGCTGTGATGCTGAAGCACCTCCAGCTCACCAGTATGTCTGACAGCATGCCTTGTGCTGGGATTTGAAGACAATTGGCCCTTGTGTCTTTTTGCTTTTCTGCTTGCAGAGTGTCATTTTCTTCAGAAAATGCTCTTTTGCAATTACTGTGAATTACACATGAAAAGCAAGCGACCACATATTGATTGGAGCCCAAGAAAAACACCAAAGCCATTTAGAGTAGATTAACTTTTTCTGGAAAACGGCTTCACAATTATTTAAAGAGATTAATCAGTTCATTTTAGGTCACTTATCATTGTTTCCATGGCCTAGCCTGGAATATTTTGTGGACAGAGCTGAGACCTTCTCAGGAGGAGGAAGGAGGGGTGCAAGCAGATGGTGATGCTCTCTGGGTCCCCGTGGGGACTGAACCACAGCTGCCTCAAGGGAGGACATAGGGGAACCCTCCTCAGCCAACCCAAATACCTGCCTGCTCCATGCCAGGTGCAGCCAAAGAACAGGAGAGTAACATTCCTGGGATACATCCTGGGTCATCGCGTGTGCACCCTCACTCTCCTCCCGCTCCCCATGCCAGCATGCTGCAGGCAGAGCAGGCTCCTGCCCTCGAGTATTTCAAAGCATTTTTTAATTCAGGAAGAAAGAATTGAAGTCAAATAGCTCCTGTGGTGGAATACTTCCCAAATGTCAACACAATCTGTGCTACATTACGGGTAAATGTGATAATCTTAACGCCTGGCTTCTTAATGTCAGTGGCACTGAAGTCTGATGGATTGACAGACTGCCAGAATGACACGCAGTCATAGCTGATAAGGGCTCTCTCCGGGGAAATCACAGCTTTTTAAAGATGTTGGCAGCTACTAGCAAGTACCTTTTTATTTAAAAGGATTACAAGCATTGATTGCACTTCCTGTTTTCTTTTTATCACATTCCTGCACTAAGTGAAGCTTGTGCTGGGAGCTGAGCTTTTCAGACAATTATTCTGGAATAATGAAGGCGTGTCATGTTGCCTGTAATGAGTGTTTTCAATGCCTAATTTGCGTGCAGTGTGAAGGGATTTCAACAGCTGCCTGGCTCCTGGCTAAAGGTGAGTGACTCCTGACCGCGGCGGAGGCTGCCTGGGCTGGCTCTGCCGGGGTGGATGGCAACGCGTGCTTCCCCCAGTAGAAAAGGGATTAAAACTCCACCAATTACCACGGCTAAAACACAAGCTAAGGGGATGTGTTGTGCTTAGAAATGGCTGGTGGCTGTTCCCCCGGTGAACAGCTGGACCAATTCATGCTCACCTGAGCAGCTCCTCCACAGCAGCGAAGGAGAGAGATGAAAAATGGATGTCTATAAACCTGCAGTGTAGCTGGACAGGGCAGTTAACAACCCTGAGCCACAAACACTTGCTGTCGCTGACTACAGATGAGGGATGTCTGAGCATCACCTCCCAACCACAGCTGATGGGCACACACAGCAGCAGCACAGGCGGGTGGATGGTGAGACTCCCTGCACAGCCTAGGGGAGGCAAACACCAAGGCTCCTGCTTTCACCCTTTCTTGCTGCCCAATGTCATGCTGTTAAATGCCAGTTTTGAGCCCTCACAACTGGGTTCCAGTGTTGGTGGGATGGGAAGGGCCATGGGAAAGCCAGGGCTGTGTGATTGTTGCGTGGGGAGCCCTGGTTGTGCTTTGCTGCGTATCCCAACTGCTTCAGATTCTGCCCACCCATGCTGGATTCAGCTTTGCAAAGCCCAAGGAACTTCCCTACAAATTTGAAGAACAGTCATACAATCGACACTCATCTGGAAAGGAATTGTGAGGCTGGAAAAAGCCCAGGCTGGGATGTGTGCATGACAGATGATGGCCAGCCTGGCTGCTCAGCATGGCACCAGCATCCCGAGAGGGCACAGTCCCGCTGGCAGCAGGAACACCAGCTCTCCACCACACCACCCTGGCTGCTCAGACACTGAGGGGTAGTTTCAACCCCACTGACTGCCCAGAAGCACAATTCCAGGGCCAAGTGAAATTCAATGATTTTGTTTCTCTCCAACTTCTCTGGCTGTGGTGACAGAGCTGTGACAGCTGCCTGGAAGCACAGGTCTGTTCCCACCAGTGAGAGGGGAGTGAGAACTGCTGCTGCCAAGCACAAAGCCAGGTCATCTCCAGATACTGGGAACACTCCTGGGATGGGCTGGGAGGCAGCAGAGCCAAAGCAAGTCGAGAGCACAAACCAGAGTTCTGTGACAGCAGAGAGCCCTGACAAGACAGAGCTGCTGCCTGCACCAAGCCCAGGGCAGAGATGTGAAACACAGATTTTGCTGAGTAGGGAGAGTCTGATACCAACCCTGAAAGCTGCTCAAGGGCTGGGTAAATGAAAGGATGTAGAGGGCTGGGATATTAGCCGTGGTGGAGGTGGATAAAGGAGTCAGCTTTCTGGTGATAAAGCAGCTTCCTCAGAGGGAAAAGAAGGGATCAACTTCCAGAGCAAGGTATTGCCAGTGGGAACGGGAGGTAGAGGTTGACACAGCCTTGCTACATTCAGTTACCAGAGACAGATTTTCCTCCTGGGGGTGAAGGTATCACTGCCCTTTTTTCACTTCCTTTTAATGATCCCAGCAGATCACATCCATCTTTTGCAAATACCTCTCTAGAGGAGACCTGGACACCTTGCCTTCTGGAGCTTGCCATGGCTCAGTGCAGGCATTGGAGGTGACTGATGCAGCCTCCCTGTGCTGGGGAAGGAAAAGGGGCTGCAGCAGCCCATGGCTGATGGGACACAGCAGCACTAGCACTGTAGGACCCGTTCAGAATGTGACAGTGGCAAGTGCCACTGTCCTCGGCCAACACTGCCAGCAGACAGCCACTGGTCACGTCCCATGTGGCGAGAAGCATCATCTGCAGAGCAGGACTGGCTTCCCCTGCTGCAGAAGGAGGAGGAGAGGGACCTGCTCTTACCCTGCAACGAGGCTGTTGTGCAACTGCTGGAGAGAGAGAAGCTGCTATAGAAAAATTTCCTCAGAAGGGGCTGTGTTGAGGAGGCATGGAGCTATTCAAACATCTTCACAGATGCTTCTGCAATCAAAGCTCTCAATAATCCTCCTCTTTTGTAGTGAAGGGTCTGGTTCTGACTGGCAATTTGTTGCTTTGAGCTCTCTCCATTTCCCCACAATATACAAGAAGCAAATCCTCCTGCACAGCGCAGGCTCACAGTCAATGCCAGGCACTTGTCACCTCCACTGCAATGAGCACAGTGACTGCAGACACCTCCTCCTCCTCCTCCTCAGTGTGGGGTTCCCAGAACACTCCAGATCCCGGCCTCTAGAATCTCAAAGTGTTTGGGTGCCTGACGTGGGACAGCAGGACTTGGAGAGCTGCAGCTGGATGAGAGTTCTTGTTGCCAATGAGCTGGGCTGGAAACTCAGGTACAAACACTCAGCTCTTTGCAAACAGCAACGGGCCAAGTGTCCAGACCTGCCAGAGCAGGTGGCTGTGACCACAGCACTGACTGATTTGCTGTGAGGGTGCAATTAATGGTGCAATTAATGGTGCAATTAATGGTGATGCTGGCAGAAAGGTTTCCTCAAGGCTGGCAGCTGTTGAGGCACTCACTGTAAGTGTGAGAAGGAAAACTGCATGGTCGTTGAGGTCTGACAGCACACCTTGTGCCTCTGGAAAACCCTCCAGCCTCAAGACTTGCCCCTTCTGTCACACCCTCCCAGTAACTGCTGTCATCAAAGGTCACCAGATGCTTCTTCCATAACATTTAGTGAATAATCAAGGGAGCAGGATGGAGCGGAGGCAGGGAGATGGTGAAGGATAAGGAAACACTCAAAGACCTGGGGGAACAATAATCCTGTTTTGGAGCCAGGACTGCAAGATGCTGTTTAAATGACTGTTCCTTTATGGAGCAGTTCAAAGTCTGCCTGTTCTCTCTGCTGATCTACACTGAGGCCACCACTGAGCCTGGCCACGTCCCCTCTCTCTGTGCCTGCTCCATCCCTCCATGGTGTGCCACTGTCACACTGATGGGTGCTGGAGCATCTGCAGCCACCTCAGTGAGGCTTCCCAGGCCCAGGGAGTGTCACGCTTTGCCATGAGCACCCTGATCTTTCCCCAGCCCCTGGCCATTAAGGAAACCACCAGCAATTGATTTAGCTGGGGTCAGGCCAGAATGTCATTTATTTGCACCGTTTCAATATTAAAACTGAGTTTGAAGGAGGGTTTTTTAGCTGCTGCCAGTAACTGAATACTGCTGTAACACACAGCATGACCAAATGAGAATGGGTCAGGTACCAAAGCTGTTGACAATGCTCAGCTGTACTGAATCCATCAAGAATTACAGAATCATACAATGGTTTGGGCTGCTCAAAGCACAACCCAACTTTCTCCTGAAAGGATGGAGAATACCAAGGGCATTTTTTTGCATTGTTCGTTTTCATTTTTTTTCAAGTTCAGAGAGAAAATATGACCCTTCTCTTGAAGAAGCTTTTTCTGATGAGCATTACAATGAAAAATGGGAAGAAGCCAGAGATTCAGCATCCTGCCAGTGGGAACATGCTGCAGGGGTTGGCTGTGCCACGGCCCATCAGCTACCCAGCCCCTCCTGGAAGGCACCAAAGGGACCACAATGTCAGGGCAATATAAGGAAAAGAAAAAAGCCAAAAAGAAGCATGTAAGACTCAGGCTAGACGACAAGGAAATAATTTATTTCCAGATCCCAGAAAGACCTTGAAAAAAAAAAAAATAACAAGGGTGAGGAAATCAACCTTCTAAATTCATCTGGGTAGAGAAACCAAACCGAAGGGACTCCATCAGACACGGTGGCAGCTGCCAGCTCCTCCCACGGGGCAGGCAGGGGGTGCGGGCACCGCGCGTTTACAGGGGGACAGAAACTAAAACGCAAGCGTGAGTGCATGCGCGGGGCACGGGCTGCTCAGGGATGGGGGTGCTAAACACGTACCCTGTCAGAGCCCATCTCCTAGGACAGAGCCCTGCTATTGCACAACACTTGGCTAGAGGAAGGGCCAGTGCCGGAGGGGCTCGGGCACAGCTCTGCAGCCCAGAGGGAAAACACGAACACATTCCTGAGGAAAGAGAGGGATTTCTCCGTTCTCCTGCTTGGAGGTGCAGGGTGTCGCGTGCTTGAGACGGCGTGGCCAGAGCTGGCACTCGAGGGCCCTGCTGCCTCCCCAGCATCATCACAGTGAACCAGCAGCACGCTGGGCACAGGTGCCAGCCACAGCACCATCGCCTCCTTGGAGTGACCAGAGAGGCCCTGAGGGGCTCCTGGTCCCAGTATGAGCCACGCTGGGGCTCTGCACGGGGCCATGGTGGCAGTGGCAGGAGCAGCTGAGGGCAGGCACTGTGGCAAAGCCAGGTCCTGCCCCTCTCCGCTGCCAGGTCTCATGCTGCAGCCAAAGGACCAACGCCGGCAGCCGGGAAGCAACACACAGAAAAAAAATGGACACGCATGTACATTTACAGTTAAACCTTCTCCAAAGGGAGAAAACAGTGTCTGTGCTTCAACTAAAAGGACAAACCCAATGACAAGGCCAGGATGTGTCAGGCCTTGGGAGACCGTATCAGTTACTTATCAGTGATAGAATTGATTTTTTCCCAACATGAACAGATAAGGAGCTGCACCCGCCAGGATGGCCTGAGGTGCTGTGCAAGGACATCATTCTACAGGCTGTTCAGTTTTCCCTGTGGTAGTTGGCAGGCTGGGAAGGCAGTGGGCACCCAGTGCTTCCCTCCAGCATCACCTGCAGCCTAAGGAGCACTGGAACATCCCACTGGCATCTTCCTCACCTGCCTCCCAAACCCAGGAATTACACGCAAAAGCAGTCCTGCTGGGAGCTCATGCTGGTTTGTTGCAGGATACTGTGCTGGGGTGGGGACACCCTGGGTATCCTGAGGTGTCACAGACGTGCTGCCCAACCTGCATCCAGCTCAGCCCCAGAGCTGTGCCAGCAGGTTCTGGCCTCACACACATCTCCTGGGGATGGCTGTTCTGTTGCTAATGGTGATGCTCTGCTGTCAGATGGGTGCAAGCAGGAATTATTCTTCCCAGCCAGGGGCTGGGGTTCTCCTGCACCCTGCAGCAAGGTCCTGCATGGAATGCAGCTCTTCCCCAGCCACTGTGGGCCAGGGAGCACTGACGTCCTGCCTGCTGTCCTGTGCAGCTCACACCATTTGGTGACAACCAGTGCCTGGCTGGGAGCCCTGCAAAAGCCAAGTCCTGTGTGAGGGGCTGGCGGAGCCCAGCTGGGGGTGCTGCTCTGTGCCCCTCCGATGGCCCTCCCCAGCACTGCAGCTGCTCTGGCCCAGGCCACAGCATCTGCCTCGGTTACAGGTGGGACATCCCTGTCTGCCACTGGGGCTGCGGGGCACACCGGGACTTCACAGACAGTGTCAGCTGTGCAGGGAGGGTTTGGGATCCCCTTCACATCACCAGCACCTCCGCGATCACAAGACAGGGGCGAAGTGATTGCAGCACGGAAGGGAAACCTGGTTTGAGGTGAGCAGCCACCCTGCAGGATGTGATCCCAGCGTGGCACCCTCCCTCCAACACCGTGCCCGCAGCCGGGGGCTACTGACAGCCCCAGAGGGAGCAGCGAGAAGGAAGACTTCAAAAAGCAAGTAAACTTAGGGGAAAATCTGAACAGAAGTTAAAAGCTTGTTTCCCTCAGCAAGGAAAGCTCTTAAAGAAATCAAAGCTCTTTAAATGCTCTGACTCAAGTGACAAAAACAATTTAGACAACAAAAGGCTCCCGGTTTGCTCTTCCTCTCCTGGATGGGGATCACCGAACAGATCTATTTAAATGATAATTTGTGGGGGAGAAACCCTCTCCAAACCCTCTTGAATTAGATTTTCTCCTTCTTAAGTCAATGCGTAGTGCTTTAATGGAGACGGGCTCTGAGGAGATGAGGACACCCCGGTGGCTCCTCCGGGCTCCCCAGGCGGGTGTGGAGCCCAGCCGAGCCGAAGGCAGCAGCAGAGGAGCAGTGGGGTGCACACGATCCCCGTGTGGCCCCTCACGCCAGGAGCCCCGGTCCCGGAGGGACAGCTAGGACTCCTCGCTGTCCTCGTCACCCCTGCGCCCCGCGTACAGCGCTGCCAGCTGCCGGAATCGTGGCCCCCAGCCCCCCAGGTAGGAGAAGTCCTGCTCCGAGCCGCTGGACCAGGTGTTGATGGAGCTCAGGGAGGGCACTGGGGAGTCCGAGCCCTCGAAGGCATAGGTCTGGAAAGAGTCATAGGGCGGCACAGAGAGGTCCTCATCCGCCTGCTCCACCTTCCTGCAGATGTAGTCTCTGAACACAGAGAAGTCCAGGTCTGGGCTCTGCACCCACTGTGGGAGGGCGTGGAGCTCGGAGGCTGGGTTTCTGCCTGGGCCCCCCTCTCCTGGCCCCCCACCTCCATCACCGGCTTTGATCTCACTGAAGTCGTAGAGGCTGCGCAGGGCTGACATGTCATAGGCCTCTGTGTCCTGCTCACCACCTCCTTCGTCGTTGTATTTGATGACATTGTCCCTCATGTCCTCGTCATCCTCAGAGGTCAGGTGGCTTTTGTGGTGCCGCTTCAGCGTGAGGATCAGAAGGACGAGCACTGGGGAAGGAAGAGACAGTCAGATGGAACAGAGTTTCAGGATGCTGTGCTCCTGCGGGGTGAGGATGACCCTTGCTCAGTGGCAGGAGGAGGCACAGCACCCCTGGCACAGGGAGCCCTGCTGGGAGGCCAGACGGCTCCCACCAGCCAGGCTCATCAAGCAGCAGCCCTGCTCTGTACTGCCTTGAAGAGAGGTTTGCCTGGGCTCCAGGGCAGCCCAGGAGCTTCCTTTGCCATGCAGCACAACCACCGAGACAGGAGGGAGCAATGGATAAACACACAGCTGGACAGACAAGCGGATGGGCTGTGCAGATGATGAGCAGGAAAAGGGGGTGCGTGATTCACGGTAGCAGCCAAATATTGTCTGGGTGAATGTGGAGCAGATGGCACAGAGCCTGAGCAGCGAGCCACAGCTGTGTCCTGGATCATCATCCATTCAGCCCATCACCTTTAAAGCACTGATGTGCACTTTATTTGTCTGGGCAATTAGGCAGAAATTTGTTTGCATTGCGTTGGATAATGAAACCAGTGTAAAGTGCACCCTGTGGGAAAGGGTCTTCTGCATGGAGATGCAGCAGGAGACAGGGAGTGGAGCCATGCCAAGGAGACCTCACCAAACGATGTGCTGCCTCCCACAGCTGTCTGGACAGCCCTTGGAGCCAGCCAGGAGCCAGCTCTGGGGTCAGAGAGGGCTTTCAGCAGCTGCATCCATCAACTGTCCTGTGCTAAACCTGAGGGCACTGCAACATCCCTCGTTCAGAGCCCCTTCCCACATGCACATAAGCACCCACTCCCCATGCCCAGCAAAGCTTGTGCCAGTGTGCCAGCAGCAGGCAGCAGCATTCCCAGGGTACAGGTCCTGACCTAGGCAGCACTCTGGTTTGACCACAGCCCAGCTCTGCATCCTGCCCACACACTCACACACGCTCTAACACTGACCTTTTGAGGTAAGAGCACACCCGTGTGCCCCACACCCACCAGCCCTGCCCACACGCTGGGATCACACAGCCCCATCTGCTGTGGGGCGCCTGCGGTGGGCACAGCATGGCAGCTGGCAAGCAGCCCGTGGCTCCTGCCTGTCCAGGCAGGGAGCGAGCCAGCAGCTCTCCAGGCTCTGCTGGGCAGCACCACGCCTGCCTGGCACAGGGAACTCTTCTCTGGCTGCCTTGTGGAGCCCAGCACACATGAGCTGTGGCAAACACAGCAGGGCTGAGGTTCCTGCCCCCCATGCTGCAGCTACCAGGGAGGAGACAGATGCAGAGAAGGCTGCTCCGTGCTCACAGCTCTGTGCCCGCAGCACCTCTGCACACATCCACATGATGCTGATGGAGAGGAGCTGGCACAGGACAGGGAGGACTCGGGGGACGGGCAGGCACTCACCAACCAGAATGAGGACACAGACCAGCAGCGCGATGAGGGCGCCGGGGCTCAGCGTGGCTGACACGACGTAGGCTGTGCTGTTGCAGGACTGGATGGCCCCGCTGCTGTCACAGCCACACACACGGATGGTCAGAGTCCCCGTGCTGCTCAGGGCTGGGGGCCCGCTGTCCACCACCAGGATGGGGAGCAGGTACACATCCTGCTCCTGGCGGTTGAAGCCCACTCTCTGTGTGTGCACCGCTGCCGTGTTGTCTGCAGGGAACAAGCAAAACCACAGCAAAGTCACCCCCACATCACAGCCTGCAGCACCTGCCAGGAGCTCCTCCATGCTCTGGATGAACAGCAGCTACTCCTGCACCACCTCCAGCAGCTACCCTGAGAGAGCCTCGGGCCTTCCCCTCCTCCATCACAAGGACCCAGATCACTGCAGAACCCCTGTACCTGAACATGGGCAGCTCCACTCCTGCACTTTCCCCTTTGCCAGCAGCACCTCAGGGCCAGCCTGGCACCTCCTTTGTCATTACACCTGGGAGTGAGCCTGGCACAGGAGCAGCAGCACATGAGTGCCTGAACCATGCTGACAAACAACGCAGGCGGCACAGAGAGAGGGGGAAAACTTCCAAAAGACCCTCTGAGAGTGGCACAGAGTCAGGATAAAAATCAATTGCTGACATGTACACAAGAACAGACAGGGTCTGCAGGTGGCACTGAGACTGCAAGAGCAGACACTGCTTCTTCCAAAGCCAAAAGCCATGAGTGAATGGTCCTGCCTCAGCCGGAGGGCCAGATAACCCTGTAATCCTCTGTAACTCCTGAAGGAGTAGGCAGAGCTTCTTCCAAGCCTCCCAGCCAAGTCAGGCAACCTCCTCCCCATCTGCTTACACCCTGCTGCTTCAGGGGCTCAGCTGGCACAGCACAACTCGTTAAGATCCCATTAACACAGCCACTTCACGGGACCCTCCAGGGCCCTGGTGCCAGCAATGAACCCAAGGAGCAGCTGCTGCCAACCAGGAGCAGGGAGGGAGGGCAGGGACAGGGACAGGGCCTGACACTGGGACTGACTCCCTGCTCAGGGGTGCTGCAGGCTGCCAGGCAGCAGCAGCGTGGGCAGGGTGAGGCTGAGCAGCAGGTGACAATTGGAGGCAGGTGTCACAAAGCCACTGCCCACTGTCTGCAACCTTTATCTAATAAACCATGGATTGGCCCACTCACAGCAAGGTGCTGCTGTCTGCAGACTCTGCTTATCAGACCTGATTTATGCCAGACCATCTCCTTTCTCTATGAATTAGCTCTTCCATTGGGAAAGACATGTACTGTAACATGGCCCTTGGGCTGCTGCCATCACGGAAATTGCTGTATGGATTGGGTGCTGCATGAGAGCACACAGGGCATGGTGGGGACAGGAGGTGGGCCGGGGTGGAAAATCTGCTGGTCAGCCAGGAAGCAGATCCCAGAGATTCTGTGTGGCAGCCAGGGCACCGCAGAGCACAGATTCCTGTCCTGTGGGACACCTGCCACTGTAGCTGAGACTCCTGGAGCAGCATGCAGCAGCAGCACCATGGCAACTGGGCACAGGTGTCAGGAGGAACAGGGGAGCACTGGCCCCTGGGTGCAAGGAGGCTGAACCAAGTGTGGTGGCAGCAACATCTCAGAGCTGCTGGTGGCCCACCAAGGAAAAAAAGCAATTTGTTATGCTAATAGTTTGCACAAAGGTAATGAGATCTCATTTGGTGGTGGTCCCCCCTCCTTACTGCAGTGTAGCAGAGTGATATAAATAACATCAATGGCACTATCTCAGCAAGAGACCAGGACTAACTCTTAGCCAGCCCAGGTAAAAGTAAGCCTCAGACACCTGGATCAAGTGGAGATAAAACCATGGACAAAAAGGACAGATGAAAGTGCTGGAAGAGAGCAAGGCTCTGGCCACAGCCCAGGAAGGTCACCTTTGCTGTCACTGTCACACCAGCCAGGTCACCAGCCTGGGGTTGGGGTCAGATCCTGGCTCAGAGGATCCCTGAGCACACAGCCCTGCAGCTCAGCCCAACCATCACACAGGGCTGAGGGAACACAGTGCTTGGGAACTCCCCCAGCTGCTCTTTGGCACTGTGTAAACACAGGGGTAGCACCAAAGCTCTCTGGAAATGCAGCAGGAGGCTGGCAACTCCCTTCTGTTTACAGCCAGCTCCAGCTCCTGTTAGGGACCTGCGACAAGGCATGCTGTATTTTTAGAAACAGTCTCTAGAAACCAAGGGGAACTACACATGCAAGTGGCAGAGGGGCAGGCACCAACCTCAGCTCAGCCCAGACAGTTTAGGCAGCCTGGCACCACTGAAAAAGAAATATTGCCACCCACCAAGTCAAAATAAAAAATGAGGTACTTAAATTTAACAGCAGCATGACAGACAGGTCTGCTCAGAGAAACCTCGCCTCAGGAAGGGGCCGTGACCCAAAACTTGATGCAAGGGAGTAACAAAAATCACAACTACAAACACTGCTTTAAACATCATGAAACTATATTTTATCTCCTGAACAGGGTGGCAGGAGATAAAATCCCAGGAGGGAGATGCACAGAAATGTCTCATGCACACTGATGAAACTGCTCACCAAGGCTCGACAGCCAGAGCCCAGCCTGGCAGGGACCACCTGCCTCTGGCACTGAAATGGCTCCTCCACCTGCCCACCACCACCATGAACTCTTCTCTGTTGGGTGTTTGCACCCCTTACTCACAAACCTCTGTGTTCCCCTCTGAGATACTCCAAAAAAAGTGCTCTGCCATACGATTGTAATCCTTTTGATCACAGATCTGGGAAAATTTTGCCTAGATCTTGGAATGTATATCCTGTAAAATGCATCCAAAGCAAGCTCCTACAAAACAATTGTCATTTCTCTTGGTGCAGTTGTTTCTTTACATGTAGCTGACCCACAGCAGCTGCTCTGGGATGTGTCTTGGTGCAGATTTGTTTGCATTGGCACAGCCCAGGCAGCCCTGGCCCCACAGCCCTCATGTCTCTTCCTCCGCAGCAGCTTCCTGCCAAATCCATTTCTGGGGTGATGAGCTGAGGAGCAGTGCAGCTGAGGAGCAGCACTGGAATGTGAGCAGACGTTAATCCACAGCTTTCCTGCACAGATGAGGCTGGGTCTCCACACTTGGTTTCCTGCCCAGTCCCCACAAAGCTGCACCTTCTGCTGTGGCTGTGCTGAGTGTCCTCTGATGCCCCAACCAAACCTTTACTATCACTGCTTTCTTGCTGCACAAATTGACATTTTCTTCATAGGTTTCCACTGTCACCCTCTCTCTGATCATGCAGTGACATTATCCTGTGTTACATCACATCACCTTGTGTGACAGGGCAGGAGATGGCCCCTCTGTCCACCTGAGGAGCAGGACACTGGACAGGGCAGGAACTGACATGAGCTGAACACACAGGGACTCATCAATACTGCCCTAAGAGGAAAGTTTGGGAAGTCAGTATACTCTGGTGGTAGCCTAATGTCACTAGGAATAACAAAATAATTAAGTCCCCAGATTCCCCCTCCAAAGAGGCTCTTGGCAGCCTTGAAGATAGAACTAATAAATCCTTCTCATAACTCAATCTCAAACAGTGCTAGCAGAGCAGGAGGGATTTTGATGTCCCTTCCCTCTCCCACACTCACAGGGTCTTGTGAGCATCCACCTTCCCCTTCTCCAGCAGATGCTCTGCTGCACCAGAGCCTGGGAACACCGGGAGGAGCAGCAGCACCCGGCTGGGCCTGCAGGCACACTGCTGCCAGAGCTGCCCAAGGGAGCAGACCTCCTCCAGCACCTGGTGGTGCAGCTGATAGAAGAAACATCCTGTTTTTCCTTTCTGCCTCTTCCTTCTCTTGAGTTCTCTGGGTACCAGGCCACAGCACCACTGCTGCTCCTTCGCTGTTTGCTCAGCCCCAAGGAGGTTTGATGCTCTTTTACACACACACCCCAACCCTGCCCCAGTCAAACGAGCATCTGAGCTGCTTGTGCTGAGAGGGGCATCCCTGCAGGGCTCCAGGAGGCTTCCTCTATCCTCAGGCAATCCTCAAATCCTAACATTTTGCTTTTGATTGTAAGGATTTTCAGATCTTCTATCACCCATTACACACTCTTAATGAGACCTGCAGAGAGTTTAGACATCTGCTTGCAGAGCCCTTGAGCCCTGGAGTCAGAAGCTCCATGTGTCACTCCATACTACCTAGCACTCCTTCCAGGTTGCTGGGCAAGGATGCTTTCTACCATCCCTTCCAACACAATTAGCACTTCTTGGAGAACATGATTTCAGGCTTTAATTGCCTTTGATCCTGCTGTAATCAATTTTATTAGGCCAGAAAGACCCAGCAAAAGGTGAGTTAGGAAACAGAGGATGGCAAATGCCTTTGGAATGGCACCAGCTGGATCTTAACATGGTCAGCTTCTCTAAATCCATCTCTTTAGTCACTCCATATGATGAGCATCTTCCTCCTGGATGCTTGCTGTTGTTACCACAGGTGACATTTATTCCTTGTCTGATGAATCAGGAAGTGTGTGAGCACTCCCTCAGACAGAGCAAAAGCACGGAAAGAGAGGCACCAACAGGCAATGTGCTGTTTCCAACAGCCCAACTCTTGCCAACGACCTGTAACTCAGTTATGTGGTCGCCTGCAGAGACACCCTTGGTTTTTGCATCTCCAACCCGGAGCCAGCACAGCTCTGTGTGCTACACCCAGGACTCCTGGAGGGAGCCCCAACAGTGCTGGCAGGTCACAGCCCCCCAGGCTGCCCCCAAGCAGCCCCCCCATGCCAGCTGCTCCTGCCCTGCCCCACTGCTCCAGGAGCGCTCCCGAGTGGGTTCTGGTCCCCACTCTGCTGAGAACAGTCACTCCCTGAGGTGGCTTTCTGGTGCCACAGAGGAGCCAAGTGAAGTAGGTGCAAAGCAAAAGAGAGGATTTAAGCAAAGGCTTAGAGAATCCATCTGTGCTGACATCCATCAGTGTCACTCCTTGGCTGCAAAAGCAATATTTATAAATCACGTTTCAAAACTGGCTACAAATTTGTACAAAGAAACAGATGGGCTGGTGGTAGCAGTTTGTCACCACTGATATTTGCACGGGGGAGTAGAGACAAGTGCAAGAGGGGTGAATGCAGGAGAGGGAAGCAATGGGGATGCAAGGGAGGATGCAGCAAGGACACCTACGAGAGTAGGGGCAAAGGTGAGTGTACCCAGGGCAGTTGATGGACTGGAGAAGGGGGCAGAAATCAAAGGGATGGAGATGGCACCAAGGCACCCCGTTAGAAATGAGGGGTGCCTCCATCTGCCACAGGCAGCCACCTCCGCTTGCTGTGGAAGACAGCACTGCTCAGCAATTGGGAGGGTCTCCAAACACTCTGGGAATAACCCTGCAGCAACAACATTTGTTTTCCCAAGAGCAGGAGGCGGGAGGTGATGCCAGCTTTTACTCATTTTATGCAGTGTTACACCACACAAAAAGCTCCAGGGATCGTTTAGCACAAAGAGTTACCCCGTGCCACAAGAGCCTCATGCCACTCAAGAGAGCAGCAGCTCTGGAGGAGATGGTGGCACACGTGTCCTGCATCTACTGCAAAGCCACCTCTTGGGCCACTGCTGGCAGACCCCCACACAGAGCCAGGGAGCCAAGAAGCCCTTGCTAAGCCCCATACAGCCCCAGCCATGTGCCCTCCCAGACGAGCAGAACAGCGGTGGTGGCTCTGGGATGGCAACTGGCCATGGCAGACACCCTGGCCCAGAGCTCGGAGCCTCATGAGCGTCTGGGCAGGGATGGACACCCGGCTGTAGCTCAGCATGTTCAAGCACATTTTCATAAGGCTTTTCAAAGAAAGTGAGGGAAGTTAATCGCTGGGTGTGGGGCAAAATCTTGCTGAGGATTAAAGCCTGTTTACATGATAAGAATCAAAGGTCTTCTGAGCAGCTGCCCTTAAGCAGAGAGGGAGGGACTCAGGTCAGGGACAGCTGTGCTACTCAGGACACAAAGCAATATCCAGCTGTGCTACCATCACATCTGAAGCTTTTCCATTTTGACTATCCCTAATAATGCTGAACCAAACTGAGCAAGCAGGATCTTACGTCAGCAGAAGGCTCCTATGATAAGCTCAGAACAAACTAAACCAGGCTTTTGACAGATAAAGCTGCAAAAGCAGAGAAAGAGAATGGTATTGAAAGAAAACTCAACCAAAATCAAAGAAGAATTTCAATGTGGTCTTCTGGGCCCTGTGGCAAGCACATGCACATGTGGATGGAGAAGGTCCCAGTATCTACAGGGGACCCTGCTGTACCTGTTGCTACAATCAGGACCTAAATTCACCCTAAACACCAACCAAAAATAGGAAGCATACTGATAACTATTTCTCTGGATTGTTACTGTCTACACAAATGCAGCCTGACCTGACAGCTTACAAAATCTAACAGCTGCCAGGCTCAGCCAGCAGAACCTGCATGGCACCCCATCATTCATAGCAGCATCGAGTCACCCAGGATGAGCTGCTAAGCTCAGGGATGCAGAGAACCCCAGAGCTGCCCAGAGGAACAGACAGGCTCTGCCTAGCTGCCTGTCCTAAAGGAGAGAACGAGCCCCAGGAAACAGAGGAACTGCACCTCAGAGCCACCACCTCACAGGGAATCAGGCTGTGCAGGCTGTGTCCCAGAGAACCCACCATGGCTGTGGGCTGGCTACAGCATGGCCCCACTGCCTCCCAGGGCTCTGGAGCTGTTCCCATTTGTCAGGGGCACAGGGCTGGCCAACACATAGCAGCCCCAAGATGACCCATGCTCCACGATTTACTTTGGAGAGGAATAAATCATAACGCTCAAAATGGGAGCGTGTTCATCTATAAATCCACATCATCTCCTTGCCTAGAGGCAGGTTGGAGATTTCCCATCAAGAAAAGGACTGAGAGCCCTGAAAATACCAAAGGCTTAACCAGACAGCATGAGAGGAGCTTTGTAGCTGCTTGCAGCGAGGAATAAAACTGGCAGAGCCTCCTTGAGGAAATCCAAGCTGTTAGCTTGATCAGTGCCACCATTTCAGGTTGACAAGAAGCTCTGCACCATGCCTGAAGCACCCAGAGCTGGCACAGAGGGACCATAACCCACCTCCTTGTCCACGGCTAGAGGTGCTGCCCAGCCTGAAGGATGCTGGGCCAAGGGTACAGCAGGACTTACCCTGGATATCCAGCAAAGAGAAATGGTGGTTGTTGGTGGCTTCAGGTGCCAGTGTGAAGTAGAAACGGTGGCCGCTCTGAGGCTCATCCCGGTCCACAACGCTGATTGTCTGGATCAGCTGTGGGGAGAAGGCAGAGGTGAGCACCAGAGCTGCTCCCACAGCCTCTCCCAGGGTCCCACGTGCAGGGTCCAGCCAGCAGCATCACCAGCTGCAGCCAGAGTGGGACGAGCCTTCAGCCATGCACCAGGGCTCAGTGGGACCAGCAGAGCGACTCTCACTGTGACAGGGGCTGCACAGGAAGACTCTCAGGCAGCAGGGGACAGATGCACAAGCTGGCACTAGTCCAGAGTGCTGCCTGCAGCCCAGGACCAGGGCTGGGGGTCTCTCACTACCTGGCCTGGCTTGGCATCCTCACACACAGCAGCTTCATAGGGGGTAGCAAGCTCAGGTGGATTGTCATTGACGTCCAGGATTCGGATACGGAGAGAGGCCCTCGACACCTGGGAGTGGTTATCTGAAACAGAAAGAGAAGCAGAGCTTCAAGACAAAGGATCAGCTGCTGCTATCAGGGAGCAAACCTCTCATCCCCATCTGCCCAGAGGCCATCGTGGCTGCTGCCAGCGCTGCACCTCTGCCTGCCTGTGGCACAGCCTGTCTACAGGACAGCAGCACCTGTAGAGCATGCTTCAGCCTCACTGCACCCTGCAAAAGAAGCCCAGCCGCTGGGCTGTGTGCCAAGGACTCCTGAAACACCACCTGATATACCCCTGGAAAAGCAGAGCAGCCCAAAGCTAGTCCCAGCCATAAGGGTCAGGATCTGTGCTGCAGCAAAACAGCACCAAGATGGGACAGAAAACTTGGATGTGAGATCCCCCTCTGACCCAGATCCTGATCCATAGGTGCTTGAGACTGGCAGCAACATCTGAGAGCCATCAGATGGAGCTGGGATGGGAAACAGCTGCATCAGCTAAGGGCACAGCTTGGTGGTGAGATCTGTCTATCCACCTCTGCTGTGCCCAGGTGACCCAGGGTCAAATGTGCCCCACTGAGGCACGAGCCTCCTGCCCAGGGACTCAGGCCTCTTATGCTGACTCTGGGTTTTTGTTGCCATTGCAGCCTAAAGTTAAACACAGCCCCATCCATCAGCTGGCATGAGGGGTCACGCAGTAAGACTGAGGGCAGCCCTCTCTCCCTGGCACTCACCAGCCCAGCCTCACACAGGCAGTGGTCCTGGGGACCCCCTCCCTTGGGGCTCACTCTGCACGTGGGATGGGGCAGCATTTACACCTCCACTCACTGCAGCATCACTGAGCTGCAAACACTGCTGAGGGACACTGAGCCTGTGCCACAGGATTATAAATCACTCTGGAGGGCCTGATGTTTGCTGAAGCACCTCATATATCTCCAGAAATGAGAACTCCCTCTTACTCCATCTCCTTTGTTTTACCCAGAGGCTGCACCTGTGACAGAACTAATGCTTCTTTCCACGCTCAGGAGGAGTTCTGCTGCCTGTTTGTCTATAACATTAATACTGGCCCCAACAGATCAGGTGGAGGAGGACCCAGGGGAGAGGAGATTTAGCACTGCTCCATAATTAGCCAGGAATCTAAGCCCCCTCCCCAGAGCTGCCTTCACCCGGTTCTCACGTTATCACTCCCTCTCACCCAGACCAGCTGCTCTGGTGATTAGATAGTTGTTTTTGGGGGAGGGAGGCTGAAGTCGTGACTAAAAGCCTAGAACTATGTGTTATTTTAAAAGGTATATTGGTGCAGTGAAATTGCTTGCAGGAAGAGAGAAAGGGGGAGGCAGCGGGGTGAGAAGGGAGCCCGGGGAGGCGGTGGGGTGTGTGCTTGATATCCACAAATGAGCAGGAAGAAAAAGGTTCAGTTCCTGCAAGAAGGAGGATGGCAGCGTTTCATCACCCCCTCTTCAACCCACAAGGAAGACAGATAACCATCCCTGCTGCTCAGCTCTGGAGCAGGCTGAGATTGCTGAGAAGGATGAGGAAAGGCAGAAAGAGAGGAGAGGAAGTAGAGCCTGAAAGGAGGAAGAATCCAGGACCCCAGCTCTTCCCCTTCCTAACTGTAACCCAGAGGAAGAGCTCCTCCCTTAGTGCCCCACAGTGTGGGAACCAGCTGCAAGCAGGAACCCATCCCAGCACTGCCCAACCCTCCCCAGGAGCTGTTGGGATTGTGCGTGCCAGCTCTGGACATCCAGGTGATCCTGAGCAAAGCAGCTTCTCTTGGAAACCACCCCCCCCAGCCCCTGAGGAGGGATGTGATCAGTGTGTTCAGAGCCAGGCAGAAGCACAGGGCCCAGCTCCAGCCGTGGCTGCCAGGAGCGGGGTCACATCCCTGCCTCAGCACAGAGCTGGGGACCTGCACCGACCCCGCCCGAGCCAGGGCTCACGTCCTGCTTCCCTGGGCACAGCTCTGAGACAGTGACCTTTCTAAATGCACCCTGTCATATAAAAACTCCTCTTCTGCCCTTCCAAAACTGCTGAAGCCTGAGGCTCATGCTCACTCCTGGCTCAGTGACAGGGTCAAAATTTGACGTGTCCAGGAACATCAAGGTTAGAAAGGCAACTGCTGCACTCTTGTCTACCTTTCCAGTGAGGCACGCATCAGCTTCTTTTTATTTTGGCTGTACAATGTATATTTGAAGGTTTCTCAATGCCTTATCAACTTTCCTCATCCTTTGAGCCAGTACCTGTATTTATGGGTGGAAAAAATGGAAAATGGTTGGATGTATTTGAAAGAAGTTATCTTCAAAACATCTGAAATACGTTTTTTGTAACATATTAACAGTAGCATAAACTGATATTTTGATGGTCAGAAGGGTGATTGAGATTGCTGGAGCATATCTGTGCTGAAAGGCACAAAGCACTCAACTAACACAGGATTCACATCTGCAAGGTCAGAAACTCTGGCCTGTGCTTTTTCTACCTGTGTGCACGCACCCAAAATGCCCTTAGCACAGGAGCAAAGGCTCAGCAGGCAGGTCCCAGCACCAGAAAGAGAAGCAGAGAGGGTGGGTGAGGCTGTGGCGTGGGTACCTGCCCTGGCAGGGCTCTGTGAGGAGCACCTGGCCCGTGACTGAGGCGAGGGCAGCACGTGCTGGCTGAGGGCACCCGGAAGGGAAAATAACCATCTTCCACTGCAGCGTCTCTCCTCGGTATTCCAGCTCAGCTGACTGACATGCAAATTAGTTTAATTATTTCTTCTTCTAAAATAAATTATATTTTGCAGTGGCTGCAATATGTTGTGTCAGGCAAAATTACATTCAATATTTTTAAACTAATTGATGTCAGCCTTGAGAAAACCTGATTGACAGCAGTGAGAAAACTAGGCTGCTACCTAAACGCTTTCCTAAATTAAAATTAAACACGCCGTTTTTCTGCATTTCCTTCAGGAGCTGGAATGTTATTAATCTGAAAAGACTGAGGAAAGAGACATGGAAAACACACAGAACAAGAGGGAGATGCTGGAAGCACAGCCGTGCAGCATGGGAGCTCCAGGCTGGTGACTGGCAGCTGCCTTTGCCAACATGGGAGGAATTATTTCAGAGCCACTGGAGCTGCTCTGTGTGGGGGACAGAGCTCTGGCCAGCGCTTCCACACTGCTGCATCTGTGCCTGCCTCAACACAGCCACCAGCGTGGCTCAGGGCATGCCACCCTGCCCAGGTGCCATGTAGCAGAACACGCAGCACTGGGACAGGACTGGCAGGGATGGGACAGGCAGTGCCAGGGTTCTGGAGCATGAGATGGTCACAGTCCTGCTGCATGGCAACCCTCAGGCCAAGAGTCAAGTGCTTCAGGGGAATCTTCATCCACATCCCAGACTATTTCCTTATTTAATTAATCATGTAAGTAAATAATCTCAACAGGACAATATTCTCCTCTTAAATATTCAGATGCAAAACACCGACTTGGCCTCTCCCTGAGCTGCAGACAGCTGAGTGCTCACAGGACTGACACCGAGCAGCTCTGGGCAACTGCTCAGCAATGCTGTAGCCCTGCAGCAGCTCCCAGGATGGGAAAGGATTGACAGGGCTTGGTCACCCCTGCTGTGGCAGGAAAGGAGGGGACTTGTGGTTTCTGCTGTGCCAGGATCCAGCGCTTACTCCTCCAGACCCTCACACAATCTCACAATAAACACTTTGCATTTTTACACCCAAACATCTCCTGTGGAGCTCCAAATCCAGCAAATGCCATTTGTCTTCCCCCCTACACACATCAAAAGTGCTTAGCAGCTTCTCTGGGTCTGAGGAGAGCCCAGGGGACCGTGGGCAGCCACATGCAGCTGCAGCACCTGGAGCAGACCAGCTCAGGGACACTGCTGGGCACAGCGTCCAATCTGCTTTTCTGTGTTGGCACCAAATTGGTACAACACTGAATTCAAAATTTTTACATTAGTAAGGAAGTGAGAAGAGGCAGGAGTTGAATTTATTCCTCACTATCTCAGCAAACTGGGAGAAGAAAATGCAGAACAGAAGACTGGGATGTGCCACTCTGCTCTCTAGCCCTGATGCCATGGCTCTGGGGCACAGGGTGGGTTTGTAGCTGTTGTGCAGCTCCTGCCTGCAAACCAGAGTGCTGATGCCAAGGACAGAGCAGGGGCATGCCAAGGGTATGACTTGTCTGACAAGTGGCTATATGAGAGGCTGGAGCCGAAAACGTGGCCCCCAGCTGGGGAGAAGCAAAGTGGAAGCAGCAGTTAAGCCAAGTAACATAAATGGCTCTCACCTCTCCTGAGTCCTACCCAAACTCAGCAGCATGAGAGTCATTAAATTGCATCCAAACACAATGCTCTGATTAAAGCCAGTCTCCAGCAGGAAGATTTATCATCTCAATTACCAGCAGTGGACACAGCAGTCAAGGCCTCATCATTTTACATGAGCAAAGAGGAAAACAGGAAGAGAATCACTAATATTAGCCCAAGGAAGGTAAACAGCTTGCGAGGGAGATGAAGATTTATCTGTGGAAACGCTTGGCCTGGTCCCAGGCCAGATTAGCTGAACAGCCCCCATGGTTCCTGCTGGCTGCCACGCCAAACACTCTGCTGGTCCCTGGCCGGCCCGGGCAGCTCCTGCTGCGGGGGCAGAGCTGTCCTTGCTCCCCACGGCAGCAGTGAGCAGCCCAGACAGCTCATGGGCACAGCTGGGCACCTTCTGCAGCTTTTCTGGCTGCTTTCAGGGGCAAACACACTCTGACACCTGCAGGTGGGAAATAACCTGGACACAGTCTCTGCTGCAGCAGCGGGCACCAGACAGGGCTCTCCAGGGTGGGGACACCTCCTCTATGGAGCTGCTCGAGCCCCACGGGCTGCCTGTGGGAACAAGTGCTGCCAGTGGGGCTGGCTGTCCTTCAGCCTGCAGTGGTCAAACCCTGCCCAGGACAGCCCTGAGAGCAGACCAGCAGGGCAGCTCAAGGAGGCCACAGGGATGCAATATCTTGTTGCAATGCACTCCAGGCCATGTAACTGGTGCCATGGGAATCAAGTAGGTCCTGGCACCATGGGAATATAGTGGGTACAGTTTCCCACCAGCCCCAACGAGCTGAGGCACCAGGCACAATCCTGGGCAGCAGGACTCCCTCTGGGTATGTTCCATTCCTCCTGCCAAGTTTACATCTCACTGAGGAAAGAGAATATATGACCACCTGCCTCTGATAGAGTTCGTGACGATCGGCCCTGTGGCATCCAGCTGCACCCCACATGCCCATGGTGAGCACCACAGAGCCCTACCAGCACCCCTGGCCCCAGACCCCTGTGTGCCTGCACTGCTGGATGTGCAGCTGCAAGTGTGGAGGCTCCCAGCTGCTGCATTCCCCACTGCCACTGCTGATCCCACTGCGCCAGGCACAGCTGCTGCATGGCCCCGCTCCCAGAGCCCTCCATCACTCAGAAGGCTGTACCTTTACAACTGCCCTTTCCGCCAGAGGATTCAGACATAAATTGTACTTTAAATTCAATATCAGTCATTAATATTTCATGATTACAAAACGTTAAGGATAATGTCAGTGGGAAGAATGTCTGGGCAGCTAAAACGGATGAGTCAGAGCTCACCATGGGAGAAGTCAGAGCACTGAAGAGTCTCCCTGGCTTTTGAAGCGATCCACCCTGACAGGCTTCCCTGCCAGAGGGGAGCTGCAGCATTTACTGACTTGTTCTGAAATCCTAGCCACAGCGTGTAAATATTGTCCTTCTGATTCTTGTCACCTCACGTTTCCTCTGGATGCTGAGTTGTGCTGCAATGCTGCCATCCCCTCCTCCCGGCAGAGCCTCCCCATGGAGCACCCAGTACAGGTCACAGCCGGGCAATGGACTGCCCTCCCTGGGATGTGACCAGGCAGGGATCGCTACAGTGCCACAGGCAGAGAGTGCAGGGGTCACTCCTGTCATCCAGCACAGAGCATTGGCACAGAGAGGGACTGGGATGCACCATGGAGCCACAGATATCCCTTCTGGGCAGTGGGGGTCTGGCCACTGACCCTTCCTCTCCCAGGGCTACAAGGCCTGTACCCTTGTCTGGCCAGAGTGGGTAGCAGGATCTGACCTCTGGGATCCAAGTCAGGCCTTGACTTGGCTCTTTGAACATGAACAGCAGCTTCATCACTCAAGAAGGAGCAAATAAACACTCAGAGCAAAGCCTGGAGAAGGTTTCTGCCCCTAGACAGGCAGGCCTTGGCACAAGTCAGCAGGGATAAGGAGGTGCTCTGCAGCCACAGCAGCTCCCTGGTACCCACTGCAGGGCAGAGGCAGAGCACAGCAGGGCCCAGGCTGCCCTGGTGACTTGCACATCCAAAATACGGAAAACTTCAAAGAATATGGCAATGCCTTTCTGTTCCCCAGCATGGTGCCTGGGACATTCTGCTCCCCCAGCCTCTTCCCACTGCTGCAGCCTCAGGACTTCCCTTCCATCCCTTCTGTGCCAAACTTGCACCACCCCAAGCACACAGGAGGCATCCAGAGCTACACACCCAGGTGCAGGTACAGTCTGTGAACCCCAAACACTGAGAGCTCTGGCAGAAGCAAGTGCTGACAGTCCCGCAGTGCCACAGGGCTCCGGCTGAGGGGACATCCACCATGTCACAGGACTGATCCGGGGGGAGGCAGGTGATGTGAGCACAGCCCCCCGGGAGCCCCCGGTGCTGCTCAGCAGGTGTGAGTGCAGGCAGCTGTGCAGGGATGACTGGCAGAGATGGCGCAGAGATAACACGAATTTGATTAGTGTTCATCAAATATACTATTCGACCATGCTCCCTTATTAATGCTTGACTCAGGAAGAGTATTTTTAGGTTGTCTAGGGAGATGTCAGACTCAGTGCTGCTGCATTTATTTTTCTTTTTGACTTCAGTGTTGATTAACACTTGTGTCTTGGCCACCTCTGCAATGACAGCACCCATTTTCCTCCTCCTGCCCCACAGACTCTGCCCCACACAGCATTCCTCCATCTCACCTGCTTCCATGGCCAGGACAGTGATGTTGTGCCACCCTGCTGTCTCCCGGTCCAGGACCTTCCCTGTCACAATAGCGCCTGTTTTGGCATCGATGTCGAAGATCCTCTCGGCGTCCGTGCTGCGGTCGATGGCGTACCTGGGAGCAGGCAAAGGGGAATCCGTGAGCAGCTGGAGGTGCCAAGCCCACCCTCACCAGCAGCCCCAGGAGTACTGGAGTCTAACACCACAGGCCCTGTGTCACTGCTCTCCTTGTCCTGTGCTGCAGCATGGCACAGGAAGGCCATGTTTCTACTGGGCTACAAGCCCAGAGCCTTCAACTAAAATTAAAGTGTGACTTTTGGTGCATAAAGTAGAACTGTGCACAGACTTTAGACAAGGGGAAAAAACCTGCTCTGATGGGAAACTTATGTTTTGTATAGACAGAGCAATACAAAAGCTGTGGGCTGTAACTTCACCTGTGACTCTGGGAAGCTTCAGTGTTGTAGGTTCAGGAAAAGCATGAACCAAACTGAAGGTGGGCACCCCTGCTCGAGGAGCCCATCTCACCTGCCACCCCCTCTGCTGCTCCTGCCACTGCATCCTCCCAAGTGAGACACCCAGAGGGCAGGACACAGTAGGCTGTAAGCCACATCTGCAGACACCTCAACTGCAGCTACAGTGGCACAAAGCACAGGGCACAGGGTCTGAATTGACCATGTGCAACTGGTGCAGCAATCCTGGCAGCAGAGCAGTGGGCAGCATCCCCCCATCAGCACATCACGCCAGTAGCCCCAAGATTTTCTCTATTTTGAGCTTCCTGTCCCACAAAGAACAGGCTGATGAGCTTCTCCCTCTCTGGCTGTGTCCAGCTGCTCAGCAGAGACCCACCACAGGCAGCTCTCACTCTGCTCATTCTGCTGCTTCAGTGCTGTCCCAAAGAGCCCTTCCTGAGGGTGGAACCCATGTACCCCCTGGACCACCTCCAGACAGCACGATTCCCACTTCTCCCCAGGGGCAACCCCACAGCTCACGAGGAGTCAGACATCAGGTTTGGCCCTGAGCCTTCACCAGGACACCACAAATCCATGCATTTCCTAGTGGTATATCCCGTATTTCCAACCATTACACATGGAATGGAGCAAGCCAGCAGTAAATCAGGGCACAATGAGATGTGAGCTCCTGAAGGAAAGGGCTGGAAGGGAAGTCTGATCCAGCTGAGGCTGTTGAGCACAGCCATAGCACAAACAACACAAACCACCACTGCAATCAGAATTAGAAATCCAGAAGGCCTGCAAATCACAAACAATGCAGCATAATGTTATTGTGTACAGCATCTTTCACACACACTGAATCCCAGAGTGCTTCACAGAATTAAATAATACAAGACAGCAAAGAGTACAAAGGAAAAATTACCAAAAGCAGGGCTGTGAATAAATTCAAGCCTTCAGTCACATGTCCAACCACAGAAGGAAGATAAATGTAGGGACAAAGCCAACTGGAAAGCTGGCAAAGTAGCACTGAGAGGCCACACTGGACAGGAGCAGAGCAGGACAGGCTCCAGGCTAGCAGCAGGTTCAGGACAGGGGAAGTGCTCCATGTGCTGCAGAGCAATTTTCCAGCTGTGGGTCCATCACTCATGGCTCACAGCCAAGGAACATCAGCTCACCTTCTTCATGACCAGAGATGGCCCTGTGCTGTTCTGCCCCATGCCCTGAGATGGGGCCAGCTGCAGATGGGAGTGCCTCTGGCAGAGCCCCTGCACAGCCACACAGCTCCAGCTATGATGGACGTACACAAAGAGGCATTCCTACAGTTTAACATATTATACAATACCAGATTACATTTCCTAGCTCTCTCCCTCTCAGACAGATGGGGAGATGAGAGAGTAAATACAACAGAACTTGCTTGTAGCCAAATAAAAACATTCAAAATTCACTATCTAAATTCATTTGCATCAGCCACCATCTAGTACTTATGTAGCTGAATTCTTCCTATCCCCTTGCATCTAGAGGTGATGCACATCTCTCACACAAAGCCAGGTACAAGCTCATGTATCTCAAAACCAGCTACTAGGGACTGCCTGCATTTTCTGCCCCAACTCCCAGCTGGCAGCAGAGCTTTTACAGGTGCACAGCCAACTCCAAAAGGGACAGTGACAATGTCTTGGCATGTACTGCAGCCTCTCATCCTCTCTGTTCACTATTACTGCAAAGGAAAAGGAGAGGCATGGCCACTCTGAATTGTACAAATCAGTCCTATGTTCTGCTGGAAAGAGGAACAGAAACTGGGATGACAACACCTAATACCTTTCCAATAGCATAACTAATTCTACATAACTGCTTCCATTGTTCTCCCACATCCCTGACCTCGAACATGTCCTGCCTTCCACTCTACTTTTTCATGCTGTTAAATTCAAGATGGTACTTCACCCTCCCCATGGCTTCCCTGCCTCTCAGATAAGCACATGCCTGTTTTGATCACACTTCTCTCATTGCTGCATAAACAGAGACATCTGCAAAAAAAAAAAATTACACAGAAAAATCCAGTTAGTGATGGGAGACATCCCCAAGCCTGGACACACCTGACAGGGCTGTGTGCCTGGCCAGAGGGCAGGAGGATGGCAGGGAGTGTTCAGGGTAATGCACAGGGAACCTGTTCTTATGCTTCTCATAGCTTTGCTGCTGAGGCTGCCTTCTGTCCCTTCTGAATGGTCTGTTAAGGACATGCTGCCTGTACCCCATGGCCAGGCACAAACCAAACCACAACTCTGATCCCTTTGCCACCACTGCTACAGAGAAATGCCACTTTCTCAGTACTGCCCCGGGGAAGGACACAGAGCTCAGCAAACTGCCATGGCAGGACTGACTCTGCTGCCACTCACTGTGACTGTGGAGGTGGCCAGTCCAGGTGAGTCTGCAGCTCTCTGCAGGTGCCAAAGGCCATGGATGCTCTGGAATGCTCGGCTGCTGTGGGAGCTGGGGACTGGGACGATGGCACAGGGATGTCCATCCACTGCTGAAAGCCACAGCCATAACCTGCTCAGAGCTGCAGATCCCACAACAGAACTCACCTTCCAACAGCTTCCATCTCATCCCACGCTGGAGGGAGCAGTGCTTTGCTGTGCTCACTCACATCATTCTGTGCAATACAACCTTCACCACCAGCCTCTCCACCTCTACTCCAGCTTCATATTCACCCATCCCACTGAAGTCAAACAGTGCTTCTCACCTGGGAAGAGGCAGCATTTAATCCCTCCTCCTCCAGGTACTCAGGACCTATGCTCACCTCTCCTGCAGCTGGCTGCTGCACGGTATCTGGAGCTGCAGTGCCCAGCTCTGATTGGGATGCGGACCTTGTACTCCATTTCCCTCTCTTCCTGCTGGCACTGCCTGTTGGTTTGGATGTAACAAGTGACTGTTTAATTTCGACAGCTTTCTCGGTGCTCATCTTTCCCATGAATGCGTTTCTCAAGCAGTTTGTTTCACTTCTCCCCTGAACACAACAAGAAGCACATTTTATGCCATGTGTTTTGTTAATAGGGAGCTTTTCAAACATTGTATGAAAAGCTTTTTGTTGTGTTTGTTTTTTCCTCCTCTCCCTTTTGTATTGAAGCAGGTTGTAGTTCTTGCTGTGCTGTTGGAGTCTATAAAATGCCCATGTCCAACACGTGTCTCCAGATTTTGTGAATGCCAAACAAGAATATCTCTGAGAACCTTAAATCCCAAGCAACATCTTCCCAGTGCTGATAAAGCCTGGAATCCACACAATCAGAGCACAGGCTCCCACTGCAGAGAGAGAAACAAAAGGCTCCATACAAACAGCCTCACACACACAGACAGTCTATCACTGTATTACTTCATACAATGGCTCAGCTGAGAAAAACTGCACTATGCCCAGAAAACACACAGCCAAAGCCAAAAAAGCCAACTGGAAACAAATTTTTTTCTGAAAAGAAACAGTTCCAACCTTTGACAGGCAAAAAACCAAGGATGGAATAAAATAAAAAGAGCCAGACATTTAGGAGGGCAATTCCCCCAGTGGTACCACAGAAGGTTTTGTGCCCCACAGAGGGTTCACACAGCTGCTTGGCCATGCTGAGCTCGGCAGGGCTCCCTGCTCATGCACTGGTGTCAGTGGGAGGGTGCCCTGCTCTGAGAGATGGGGTGATCTCCAGGTGCCTCCTCACACCCAGGGCGAGCAGCTGCCAGGGGCTCTGCAGGCAATGTGCAGCTGGAGTGAGGCAGGGAGGAGGTGCCTCAGGGACACCCCTTCAATCTTCACATCTTTCTAACAGGTCACTGCAACCCAGTCCAGCTTGAGGGAAGGGATTTGTAGTTAAAGGAAGTTGCTGCATCCTGTGGGACATGTGGATCACCAGGAGGGCAGGGGAACATCAGGCTGGAATATGCCTCTAGCAGTTGCTTTGGGCAGCGCAGCAGGAGTCGCACAGCATTGTTCGTGCTGGCCTGGGGCTGAAAACAAAAAGCCAAGGGCACCTCCCTTCCCATTTGGCTAAAAATACCTCCTAAACCTTGTTACTGGCAGCCTGGTGTCAGCAGGACCTGGAAATCCTGACAGAGCTGATTTCTGCTCTGCTGTCTCTGGCAATCCTTGTTCTTTCCTGCCTCAAGGGGAAAGTGCATCTCGACATGACAGAAGTGGCTGTCCCCTGTTCACAGGCAGAGCCAACACACAGTCTGGGAGAGCAGCCCCTGCAGAAGCACAGCCGTGCCTCTGCTCCCACCGCTGGCAGATGAGGAGCAGAAGTTAAAGGGATCCACTGAACTGCAGCAACTTCAAAGGGTTCACACCAACTTCAAGGCGACGAGGATCAAATGCTGGTCGTGCCGTCAGGACCAGGTGCTCTCTAATGTACCAGAGGTGAAGTACAAGTGCTGGCTTCTTGTGACTGTACTTCCGAGCAGCACACTTGAAAGGAGAGGTGACTTACTGCCTTCTCCTGCTGACGGGTTAGTGTCACATCCTGGTGCTGCAGGGTGCTGGCATTAATGTCTGTGCGCTGCTTTGAAGCTGTTAACAGCTGCCTACGCAGCAAAGTATTTTATTAAATTACCTGGCTAGCCAGAGGACAGGGAAGCAGGAGAGATCCAACTCTACCTTCCTCTTGCATTGGTGCTGCATCAGCACGACCAATATCAACCTGCAGCTCCACTTGGTACAAGATAAATGCCTGTGAAGGCTCACCCTGCTGCACTGCCGCTGCTCATGACAGCAGGGACTGCCAGCACCAGGGAGTGAAGGGACGGACCAAGTCCCACAGGGCAGCATGGGGGACACAGGATGAGCTACCTGCCTGGGGATAGCTGCAGGCAGGACACGTATTTGAATGCATCAGCCCTGACAAGGGAAAACACACGGCAATTCCCAAGCTACAGCAGATGCCTGGGAGTCCTGTTGGCTGGGTCCTTGTGTCTGAGCACGAGGCATTGCCATGCCAGCACTGAGCTCACTGTAGGAGAGACTCCCAAAGTGAAGTTTGGGCTCTCACCATCTCATTCCTGCCCAATACTTGAATCTGCTTTTTTTCTGTCCAAATCTCTTCTGTACAGCATTAAGAGCCTCTCTCCACTGATTTCTTTTAGTCTGTCTGCAAACAATGCAGCAAGCTCCACAGTGAAGCAGCACAAAGAACAAGAAAAAGCAAGAATAAGAATAGTTCTGTCCCCAAGGTCCTTTTCCTACAATTACAGATCAGAAAATAAAATCTATGTTCTGCAGCACTGCTAGAAAGAGTCAAGTGAAAAAGCACATGCACATGTGCACACACACAGGTATGTGGACACACCACTCTCCTGAAGGGTTTGTGCTGACAGACACGTGCTCAGGGGCAACAAAGGAAGAAATCAGACACATAGCCTGACTGGAGAGGGACTGGAGAGTCACAGGATGAGGTGAGCAAAGGTATGTTGAGAACACATTCAGCACTCAGCACCCACTAGTGCAAGCGATGCAGCACTCACATGCACAGTTCCTGGCACACCAAGGCTAATTTCATTCACATTCCCCCCAAAGTCAACTTTGAGCATCCAGCTTTGTGACACAGTAGTCTCTGCTAGCTGCCAGGCATCTGTAGATGGCAGCTTTCCATGTGTAAATGCGTTTCTGAGCTTTCTAATCATCATAGGCTTTGTTTGCATGAGGATCAGGAGATCCTCCTCACCGGACCATGAAACAGAAACTAATGGTTGCACAACACTGAGCTCAGTGCCCCAAACAGGCACTGGGGACATCACTGAATGCAACCAAGTGCTCTAACTGAGCCCCCTCTGGCCCCATCCCCATCCCTGTCCTTGCCAGTCTGTTGCTGCGGGCTGACTCCCTGCAGAGCTCTCAGTCACAGCCAGTGCTGCTCCCTGGAAGTGAGCGGCTCCACGGGCGCCTGCAGCCCCGCCGGCACCTGGCACCAGAACACACATTTCAAGGAAATTTTCTCCACGTTGAGGATGTTTTCTGAACACCAGATTTCCAACCCAACTGCTTGTGACTCAGGCCAGTTGGCAGGGCCAGAAGGCTGCTTTGTGCCTTAGGTAATAACAATTTAACAAGGTAACAACCTCTTTAGCCACAAATTAAATGGAAATGGAAAATGTCCTGTGCAGATAAGCTGCTGCCTGGATTATGTCCCCTGCCCAAATATAAACTCCTCTGATCTTTGATCCTATGTACACATGCACGCACACACAGCCGGGCTGTGGCTCTGCACCTCCCAAGCCTCACCTCATTTATCACCCTTCACCACTGTCCTCCTGCCACTCGTGGTGTCAGGTACCACTGCAGATACCTTGCTGTCAGCAGCAAGGACACACAGGTATCACCCAGCCACCTTCCCTGACACTCCCTTGAACTCACAAAGCCGTCACCTGTCAGTGACATATCTGCTGCCTGCGAGACCGCTGTGCCTGCCTGTGCACAGGCTGCCACTCACCTGCCAGCTGCCTGTGCCACGAGACACGCACACACTGGGCCACACATACAGCACTTGCCACTTTCACCTGCAGTCCCCCACCTCCTCTGCCCCAGCCATGGCCACAAGCCCTCCCAGGCCACGTGTCCCTTGCAGGTGACCCCGTGCCCGCTGCTGGAAGGGGGCTGATGTGGGGTTTGGACGGCGCTTTACCGGACAGGGTGGTTCGCTGTGTCCGGGTCCAGGGCAGTGACCACCCCCACGACAGACCCAACATGTGCATCCTCCTGGACCTCCATCAGGTTGGAGGGGGGCCGGAACTCGGGGGGCTCATCGACGTCCAGCACTGAGACCCGCACGATGGTCTGGTCCCGAAAGGTGCCCAGGTCCACGAACCGCGGGTCCACGAACTTGTTGAGGGCCTCCACCACGACAGTGTGCACTTTTTTTGACTCGTAGTCAAGAGGCTGGGACAAGGGAAGAGGGTAAGCCACAGCCAGCCCAAGGAGTCCCTTTGCTGCCCCTTCCTTCACCAGAGACATCGGGGCAGCACTGGAGCCACTAAAGCCACCTGCTCCCAGGCAGTACTTTTGTAGCAGCCTGGGGGCTTCTGCTTTGCCCTTCTGCCAGCAGCACCCACACCAAGGGGGCAGGAGGAAGCAGAATCCTCCAGCCCACTCCACTCAGGGCCCCCAAAAGGGTGCCCAGGCTGTGAGCAGCCAGGATTCACTGGGAAGACAGCACAGTGTGTGCTGCACATGAGCGAGTTTTCATCATTAATCACCCTGCTCTTATTTCTACAAGCGAGGCAAGCTGCATACAGTGGCCTTGAAAAACAATCATTCTTCCCTGCCTGCACCAAGTATTTGCTTGATTGTTTTTGCCACCACAAGCAGATACAGTTAAAGTGCTGCTGGTCAGGTACACGAATTAGGTGGGCATTTTTCTCCTCTAACAGGTGCTATCAATAACAGCTGTAAGCATTCCTCTCTGTACTCCTATGCGTGGTGTCTCCTCTGCACAGCTCACTGCTTCACTGCCACCCTCAAGCCACCCTGGGGGCCAGCCGGCACTTTCTGCTGCTCCTTTTCACCCTTTCCTCCCAGACACAGCCCTGTATTTTGCCATGCAGGCAGAGCAGAAACAGGTCTCTTTCTGCATCAGCAGGCACAAAAATGCAACTGCTACTGCAAGAGAAGCATTCAGGATTTTCTTCAACTCAGATTCAACAGCAGCAGTCCCCAAAGGAAAGGGTCCTCCTGGGGACCTGTGCCCTCCCTACTCAATTAACACTTCTCACCTTCTGTACCGTGATGACAGCCTCTTGGGTATTGCTGTCCGTGGTGACTTTGAACATCTCCACCCCTTCCTCATCCTTCACTTGATAGGTCATGTCCGTGTTCTCCCCGACATCAGAGTCCTCTGCCTTCACCCTCCCGATGGCAGTGCCCACGGGGGCCGTTTCGACAATGCTGAACTGATACATCTCTGGAGGAGAAATGGGTACCAAGGTCACTGCTTCTGCCTTTGAACTGCCCCCACCCTTCACACACTGCCCTGGGGCACCTTTGGGCTGCGAGGGTTGCTCAAACCCCATCGTGTCTACAGTCCAGAATGTCCCAACAGGAGAAGCAAATACACCAGCCAAAAACAAGGGCTGTGCTAAGATAGTTGGGAAGCACTGACATTCCAGGTGCTGTGTGAAGTAAGGGCTGATTTCTCTGTATAGACACTGCCCTGCAATCAGTGCTCTCTGATTCCTTGCAAAGATTCCTTTGCAATTTCTGATTTCTAGGAGATGCAGCCCAAGAGCTGAGCCTTCTCCAGCTGCAGCACCTTCCCTGGCCTGCCAGCCTTGAGCTGCTGGGCCACAGTTGGAGTGCGCTGCAGAGCCCTCACAGCCCACTCCTCACAGCAGGATCACCCTGCACCTTGTCTGGGGAGGGTCCCAGACCAGACACCGGCACCAGCCACAGGCCATTAGCAGCAGGTTGGAAAATAGCTGTGCTGTGACAAGGCTGCTGCCCCTGAGCAGGGTCACTGTCCTTGCACTGGGACAAGGGTGTGACAAGCTGTCACACAGCAGCAAGGAGGGGCCAGGCCAGCAGCCAAGTTCTGGCCCCAGCTCCCAGGGGACAGCACATGGTGGACCTTGCTGGCTTCCAGCTGCTGGGAAGGGCTCAGGAAAGGGCTGGCCCTGCTCTCCCCTACCACACAAGCCATGCTTGCTTCCAGGACCTGCACTGGAGCAGAGATCTGGCATGCACTGTGCTGCCAGGCAGGGACACATTCAGACCCAGGCCAGGAGCTGTGTATTGTCATGGACCTTTGGTGTTGTCACCCTGGCAGCAGTTGGAATGGCCAGGCTGGCTCAGCCTGCAGATTCCATCCCACCACCCACAGGAACCAGGACATGCTCCAGTGCCCACCCCCATGGCCAGCAGGACTTACTCTGAGGGAAGCGTGGTGGGTTGTCATTGACATCAGTGACCACGATGGTGACTGTGGTGGAGCCAGACAGGCCACCCAGCTGTCCTGCCATGTCTGTTGCACGGATCACCACCTCGTAGCGGTCCTGAGTCTCACGGTCCAGGTCTGCCACGGCGGTCCGGATCACACCTGGAAACCAGCAGGACAGCTGAGCACAGAGCACAGGCAGGTCACAGAGCCACAGACAGGCTGAGGCTGGAAGGGGTCCCTGGAGATTACTTTGGACAAGATCCAGACCTAAACAGGTTCTGCTGGATCTCCCTCTTCACACGGGGCAGATGCTCCAGTATTTCACCAACCTTCACAGCCTAGACTCACGCTGGTATGCCCACAGAATCATATCTGGTGTCAGGTACAGCACTTGCATCTCACCAGTGTACAGAAGAAGGGACTGTCACCTCCCTCGACTGCTGGGGACACTCTCCCAACCACAGCCCTGGTGCTGCCAGCCACCTCTGCCTCAGGAACGCACTGCTGGCCACAAACAGTGTCTGCTGAACCCCTTTGCAAGAGATCGTGTGAGCAAAAGCCAGCTAAGGGGAAAGAAGGGCACTGGGGAGAAGAACAAGCCCAGGAGGTTGTCAGCCAGCCAGAAACATCCCAAAAATCCTCCTAAAGCCCAGGAATGGCCACAGGCCCAACTGGTTCCCAGCAAGTCTCCTCATGAAGCCTGAAAGTGTCCCAGCTGCTGCTTTTCCTGGGCTCCTTGCAGCTCCCACTGGGTTAAACCCTGGCACAGAGGAGGTTTGTGCTTTCCTCCAGGGTGACCGGGAGGTGGGTGAAAGATCTGTGGAGGTCAGAGGGTTGGTGAGGGCAGGAGTCACAGAGAGAGAAGACTCATCCTCACCCCCATCCAAATGCGGGGGCTGTGCTGGGGCCAGCCTCAAGGTCTGCTCTGTAAAAACCCAGGCTGAGTCACAAAACCCCTCTGGCACAGATCTACAGCAGCCCACTTATCCTGTTCTGCTGAGCAGGAGCCAGGCTTGCTGCAGCTCCCCTTACAGAACAGGGGTGCCCCTGCCCAGGCTCCATCTCCCAGGTGCTGTGGCACCTCTCAGGGGGATTTGTGTGATTTGGAGAGTGGGGGGTGGGCAGCACATTTCTCAAAGTCTTTCTGCACAAAACCCCTTGTTTTCAAGTGTCCTTCTAAGTTAAGGAGACCAGAGACGACAAAACACATGCTCTGTGCCAGAGAATTCACTGGAGCTTAACAAAATGAATGGTATGGTAGTACTTACAAAAGTAACTCTTTTAAAAACACTGTTTATAGGTCTCCAGTATTCATCTGGGACTGGGGAAATGACCAGGACTAAAATATAAAGGAATGTAAAACAAGAAACAAAGAGCAGTAAAAGCCTGAAAACTGTGCATTGCAGAAATTGCCAATCACCCATGACTGTTTCATTTAAATGGAAAAAAAAATTGAGGATGAAAAAAAGAAAGAGAGGACTCTGGCCTGACCTGGCACCAGGGTCAGGAAGGAAGGAATGCCTAGATGGATACAAGGTCATTAGCACCACATTTCAGTCCCACTGTACCAGCAGCAGCCCGTAACAGACAGGAATCAGCTTAAAACCCCCTCCAGCTCAGTTTTTTAACATTCCCAAAGATTTAGACACTGGTTTATGTTTCTGTAAATCCTCTCCCTTCCAGGGTTTTCTGTTTAACTATCAGCTTTACCTCCTCCTGCTGTGAACTGCAAATTCATCTCTGCTTTGTTTCACCAGTAATCCTGCCCAGTGCCAGGGACAAACTGGAGGAGGCTGCTGCAGTGGGTCCCCAGTGAGGGCTCTGACCCAGAGGGAACAGGGAGCTCCTCTCTTGCTGAGCAAACAGTAGAGAATCATCCAGTGGTCTGAGCACCTTGCAATCCATTTGCTGATGTGCAGCACATTGAGCAGTGCTAGAGCATTAAAGGTTCAAGTCACCAAGAGCACGGCAGAGGGGGACCTGAGTTCCAGCAGGCTGCAAAGAGCCAAGATGTGGCTACAGGGACAGACCCCAAGGCTATCAGGTGTCTTTACTCCAAAGTCAGCAGCTTTCCAGTTTCCCCATTCAAGTGTCTGCTGTGGCACCTCCAGACAAGGGCTCACACCATGAAGTCACTGGTGCTGTGGCCCAAAGGCAGCCAGAAATGCCACTGAGCTGGGAGGATGAAATTCCTCCCCCTGGCCATTTGCATGACATTACAGGTGTAGCAGGAGCTGGCAAAACTGTTCAGGAGGCATTTATCACTCCTTCCTTTCTGAAACTAGCAATTATTCCAATGATTAGCATTGTTAGGATTTATTATAAAGACAATAGCACCATTTCAGATCATTGCCATTCTCCAGCTCTCATGGATAGGCACAATTATCACCCAGCCTCCCTTGTCCCTCTCTCACTTCAGGTTCTGTAACTGCCTGGACTCTCCTGCCTTCAGCCCCACGATAAGGGAGCAGGTGATTATCCTGTGATGGGGCCCAGGGTCTGCTCTGACCCCCTCATTCATCCTGGCTCTGCTCAGAGGAAGCCACTGAGCAAAGAGTCCCACTCCAGCTCGCACAGAGAGGCAGAGCAGCCGCAGGAAGGGGAGGCAAGAACGTGCCTTGGGCAGCCATCCCAGCAAGGATGGCACCCTCCCACCTGGGCAGCAGTGCCAGCCCTGCACAAACACCCAGAGCTCAGGGGCCAGCCCAGCTGCTCGTGCTGACAGGCCTCTCCTGCCACTCCACTGTGAATACAAAACCGTTATTTCTGGGCAAGCGCTATCTCATTGAAATTTAAGCAATTCTGTTAATTAACGGGGTCTGAAGCATTTTATAATGAAAATGATTCATGTCAGCACAATAGTGATGAATTGGGATGAGAGGGAAAAAGCTCATGCATTCACCAAGGCTGTAATGACTTAACTGAGCTGCTCGTAATGATATAGCTCATAATATGCCATGCAAGATGGGAGGAAAGTGCTCAGGCACTTCCCAGAACACCTCCAAGGTCACTTGTCCCAAAGGGGAACAAGTCCAGGCTGTTTGGCACATGCAGAGTAGGGTGAATGTCCCCAGCCAGCTCTTGTTCTTCCAGCAGCACAGGGCAGACAAAATCTCTGCCTGTGGCAGGGTGGAGACTGATCAGAAACTCCCTCTCATTGTGTGCTCAGTCCATCCTGGAAAGGTGGGGATCTGCTGCAGACAAACTGCCAGACCTCCAGGAACCCATCAGGATTTCACTGGGATGCTATTCCCAAATTGCACGGGCCACACCAGGCCACCAGCCCAAGAGTCGGGCTGGCTTTGACTTCTAGGCCAAGGTACCATCACCATTTGCTAATGGCCATGGCAAATCAGGGTCTCATGTGGCACTAAGGGCACTGCCTCAAACACCCACCAGCAGCAAACCCACATGGTCCCATCCTCCAGAGCCAAGATAGTCTCTGCTCCCAAAACCTGACTCCCAGGGACTCTGCAAAGAACTGCAAGGGATGGAGACAGACCTTCCTCAAGGCTGTACAGAGAGCACAGAAAAGTCATTGCTATCATCTCCCAAGATTCACCTTCTTTCCAGCTGGAAAAACTGACAAACTTTGTCTTTCCCAGACACTACTAACAAAGCAAGAACAACCTCGAGCTCAGACTTGTCTCCCCCATTCTTGCCAGTATCTGTTATAGCTGAATAATGTGGACACATGGTGGCATACCCTCTGGTACAAGGCACATGTGGCTTTCCAGCATGATCCAGATTAATCAGTATAATTACCAGGCAAGGGGACACTTAGAGCATCACATAAATACCACTGAATCTGCTCCAACAGCAGACTCTCTTTGGGTGATAAAAACAAAGCAGGACAAAGCACCCAGCAGGTAACTGCCTTCCAGGAATCCCATCATTATGGGCCTTGCTCTGCTCTCAGGTACTTCTAGGTCATGTCCACATCCTCAGAGACTGCCTGGACAAGGCACCTTCCAGCTGAGGGCAGGAGGAGCAATAAGCCAGAAAGTCATGGGGTAACAAACAAACCTCCAATCCTAAGGAGGTTCCTGATCCATCTACAGCTCAAAGCAGGCAGTCTTCAAAGGCAGATGAAATTACCCTGGGCCATAAAGAGTCAAATTTTTAGTATCTCCAGGGATGGAAGTGGCACCATCATGGTGACAAGCCTTGTCTTCCTGCCATTTGGGTCTTTTTACTGTGCATGCCTGAGAAGAATCTGGTTCTGTCTACTCCATTCCTCTCCCATTTAGGACAAACCAGATTAATTTCTGTCAGCAGCCTGGCCAGTTAGATCAAACCCATCTCTGCTTCAGGCCAGGAATGGCAAAGCACCTGCCAAACGGACTGCAGATTCCTCACCTGTGCCCTCACCTGCCTGCAGGGACACAGAAATACCAATGTATCTGCCAAGACATCAGTCCTGCTGGAAGCACATGTCCTGGAGGAGGTCAGCCCTTGCAGAAGAGGTCTTGGCTCCAAGAACCAGCACTTCAGTCACCCTCCAGCCCCTCATCCTGTCCTTCAGCTCAGCACATTTTGAGAGGCAGAAGATAAAGGTGCTCTGAGTGAAGTATGAGGCACAAAGGGTCAGGAGGTTCATGGAGCACCTAACAAGGGCTTGTTCCAGGCTGCAATCAGCCTTGCCCATGCCAGTGCAGAGCCAGCATACTCACTCTTCCTTTGTCCCTTCTTCTAGCAGCTAAGTCCCTCATCACTTAACATTAATTCCCTCGGCACATTAGTAGAGACACTTGAATTTCCTCAAGATGACCAAACGTACAATTTGGTCCCAAATCAGCTGAAGTTCCTGCACCAATCTTAGAAAAGGGCTGTTAATGTTCAACCTCGCTGATGAGAGGAATCCCCTTAAACAGATGTGGCTTCTCTGCAGACTCTTGTGCCTTACACTCAGACTCCCCTGTGCCTGTGCACAGCTCTGGTGGATACGGAACAGGGATGGGGCAAAGACCTGCACAACCTCTGGGCACACAGGAACACACATGTACTGATACATCTGTATTTCCAGGCACCAAGAAGCATTTTTAATAAACTGGCAAGAGCAGCAGAAAAACGTGTTCTGCCTCCCACCACCACATCACACAGATCAACAGCTCATCAGCCCAGCTCAGTGTGCAGCAGGCTCCCAGACACAGCTCCTCTCCCAGTCCAGCCTTACCACCCCAGGACTAGGGCAGGTCTGTCTCCAAACACAGCAAGGCTGGCAGGTAGGGATGAAACAACCAAGGACTGCACACAAATAACCATCAGCTCCATCCCAGCAGGCCAGTATCTCCATTCTCCCTGGCATAAAAAGCTCCAAGCCCTTATGGCTCAGTCTAAATCAGGACAGACTCTAGAACTCAGGAGCTGGTTTAAGTCATCACGAATGCCAGACTGCATTTCAAATACCTTCTGAGATCTGCCTTTTCCCTGCATTCAGCAGAGTGACAGATTGGAAGAATAACCTCTCCCTTATGGTAAAAAGCCAGGCTCCCATGCACAGCCCCAAACTGACAATCTGGCTTTTGAGGAAGTAAACATAATGAAACCTATGGTGTTACATGGTGTGGTTGTTCTATAGCACTTAATATCCCTACAAAGGGATGAACAAGACTGCTGGAAACAGAGGCATCAGGTTGTGGAGTGTTGAGCAGTTTCAGGTTCCCTCCCAAGGAAGGCTGTGTGCAAGGGATCACAGCAGCAGTGAGTCTCCAGCCACACTGCCCAGGGTAAGAAAGGGCACTGCAAAGGACATGGGAACAGACAGGAGCAGGCAGGCACAGCTGCCTGCCAAAAGAGAGGTTTTCCCCTATAAAGGTGAATAATCTGCAGTGGTACAGAGAATGTAGGGTGATATAAAGCAGCATGAAAACACAGCCCGTGGATTTAAATGCACAGACTTCCCCTCTCACATAAATGCACTGAGTGCCCACACTCAGGTGCATGTCTCTGTATTGGAAATGCAGCAGCTTCAAAGACCTTGGTGAGGATGAGATTCCTGGAGCTGGAACAGGAGCTGCCACTCAACCTCCCACCTTTTGTAACTTTGGGAGAGCTGGGCTCGTGGCCCAGCAGCAGTGAGGGGGATTCTGCTGTCAGATTAGTGCTCTCACCCAGAGCCAACACCCAGCACAGCAGCAGCAGAAGCTGTTTTCAACTGGAAGCAGCAGGGCAGAGCTGTGTGCTGGTTGCTGTGAGAGCACAGCCTCCTCAGCAGATCAGGGCAGCCACAGCACGGGCACTGCTGCTCACCTGCTGCAAGGAGCAAAGATTGGCTGCACCCTGACTGAGCGAGGAAGGCAGCACAAAGCTCACAAAGCTTGATGCCTGCAGGCTCTTGCAACAAGCCACGGGGATATTCTTACAGTTGGCAAGAAAACCTTGCCTCAAAAGCTTATGCATATAAAGCTCCCCACTCACATTAAAAAAAAGCCAGCCTTGACCTTCAGCACACACAGGTGAAGTTCTTGTACCTGGTTTGGTGTACACAACACAAGTTTCAGTCTGTGAAACTATTCTCAAAGCATGAGAGTGGCTTCTTGCTGTATATGAAAGAAAGCAAAGCTCATGTGCATCAGCTGTGTTTTCTCTTGGCCATCATTCAATTCTGGAATCTTCCTACAGCATAAATGCCATCCTGCTGCTCCCACTATTCCAGGGGAGCCATTTAGATGTTTGTCTCCCTCCAAAAAGACCTGAGATGCTACAGGCATTCAGGGCTTACTGAGTGGCAGGACTTGGCACAGCACAGCAGCCAGACAGTTTGGGTTTGCCTGTGAAAGGTCCATTGAATACAAAATCCCAGCTGAACACTACAGCTGGAAACATCCAAGAACAGGAGACAAAGTCAGCTATACACGGTCCATGTTCTGTACTCGAGCATGGAAAACACTTTTGTACATGCCACACCTTTGCCATGAAGGAGGGTGTGAAAAGAGCACAGGAGAAGGGAGGAAGAAAGAACCTGTGCTGGAAGGAGTCAGGGGCTGAGGTGGTGTGCAAGGCAGCACATGCACGCATGGACCTGCAAGAAACGGCAGAGAAGGAGGTCAAAACCAAAAATGGAAATCAAATTGTTCTTCATTATCATATATTATAAGAAATGTAACATGCCAAGTTTTTATGGTTCTTTTTATGGCCATTAATAACAATGGTGGCTCTGAGAGCTTTGCTGCTGCTATGGATAATTAAATCTTATGCTCAGGGCAGAAGCTGGGCCACCTCGGGCAATCAGACTTGGATTCTCCTGTGCAGCATAAAGTCTTATTCTAGCAGAATAAGAGTGGGAGCAGGTTGGGGTGTGCTTGGGTGGATATGATGACACCTTGTGCCCCTGCAGCACTGCTGCACCCACATGGGCCAGCGCTGACACAGGGACACAGGACAGGCTGCAGCCACAACTTGAGTAGCTAATGGGAAGAGCTGCAGCCCTGCAGTTCCTGCAGTGCTGGTGAGGCACCTGCCATAGGCCATTTGCAGCTCAGAGACCCCCCAGAGTCAGCCCCAACACCTGTGTTAGCAGCCAGATATCCTGCAAACAGATGTGATCAAGAAGGGCTGGAGTCTTCTGCAGACTGTCAGCAATTTTGCCTTTGTGAAACAAAAGCAAGTAAAAGAGTAAATCAACCCCCCAGTGTATGAAACAGCCAGCTTGAGAATTAAGACACAAAAAGTCAAGGAATCAAGAAGCTTGGATTCCCAGAGTGGCATTAATTCTCACCACAGTCCCACAGGGCACATTTTAGTTTATGCCTTAATACAGAGCATTAATGTGGCAGGAAGCTGAGCCTCTGCACGTCCTGGCTTGTGCAGTTTGCTCCCAGTGGTCCCTCTCCATTCCAGCAGCCAAACTTCCCCTCAAACAAAGCTGTCTCAGATTAACAGGATCTCACATGCACCTGAATTTTCAGTGTTTAGCCTATTGTTCTTACACACACAATATAAAACAGAGCAAATCTCGGAGAGAAGAGAGCCCAGGTGCAACAGCTCCTGAGCTGTGTGTGGGTACAGCCCCAACCTGCTGCTTGTGCCCTCTCCCCACTGCACCAGCCCCAGCCCAGACAGAGGCATTTCCCAGCACATGCCACAGTGCTGCTGTCAGGTGTGTGTAGGAGCTCCCAAACTCCCAAACCTGAGCATTCCTCCAGCAGCAGCCAGGCTGGTGGCAGAGCCAGGGCTGGCCCCAGCTTCCCCATGTGCACCAGAGCACTGTCAGGAGGTTTCTTGCAGGTACAGAGGCTCAGGCACACAGACCTTCTTTACACTCTCCTTACACTGGCATCTCCAAACAAACTCCAGCCTTAGAAAATATCTATCAGCACAGACACAGATTAGCCTGACAAAAACTTGCTATTTCAGGCCAGGGGGTGATCTCAGCTCATGCTACTGTGGTTCAGCAATAGGCTGGGGAGGGCTTTGCTGTCCAGTTTTCAGCACAAGCTGCAGCTCCTTGGCCTGCTCATCCTTTGACAAATTTTCATTAAACTATAGACACTTTACTGCATGCTTTGTGCCTTAAATATCCCTTATTAGCATTTGAGTGTCTTCCCTTCTTAGCAAGCTTGTGAGGCTCTCATTAAGGGTAATGAGAGTCAAACTCCTGGGAGGCAAGGAGAATATATACCCCAACATCTCCTGGTTATGGTCTACTCTAACCAGTATGTCAGAGCATCATCTGCCAGGGATTTATTACAGAGGCATTTTACAACAGGCTCTATTATAAGTTATTAAGGAATGGAGCAGCTTCTACTGTTCTTTCATTAAATATTAATAGAACATTTATAAACCTATCCTTAATTTAAAGTGTTACCTTTAATCAAAGCCCTGGTGATAATGGTGCAGCCTTTGGTAAGGCCCCGTTGGTAGTATTTAAACCTTCTACACAGAAGTTTTATGTGCCTGTGGGGGCATTCCTGCTCCAGGCAGAGAGGAGCTCTGGCCAGTGCAGGTGCAGACCAGGCACTGCTGCAGGCAGGGCATGGAGCTGTGCAGCAGCCTGAGCAGGGCTGCTGAGCTTCCTCTCCAACACCCCTGCCAGGAGTATCCAGCGCCTGTGGCCAGCAGGGAGGCACAGATCTGCTGGCTCACAGCCATGCCCAGGACCCATAGCCACTGTGGGATCTCCTGGGCCAGCCCAGCTGGGTGCTGCTCACCTGTTTTGCTGTCCACAGTGAAGTGCTGCTCCCCCTCCAGCACGCTGTAGACTACCCGGGCACTGCTCCCATAGGTGGGGTCGTCAGCATCAGAGGCCATCACCTGCATCACAGAGGTGCCTGCAGCAGGACAAGGAGGAAAACAAAATCAGGCAGGAGTTTAGAAGAGCAGCACAGACCTCAGAGCAGGGCCCAATACTGATTGCTTGCAAATCATGGGGGAGAAGAGAACAGCTGGGTGCAAATGCAGCATCACCTCCCTGCCAAATGCCTGGAAGCCAGGACTCCAGACACTGCTGTAAATGCCTCTGGTGTGCTGCAGGGTGGCAGCAGGGACAGGATCCTGGGCCATCCTGGAGCAGGACCTGCTCTCCAGGAGATCACTGGTCTGAACAGCTGGAAGCTTTTCTCCCAGTAGCCTTCTACTGGATGATCTGGGAAGGAGCTGAGCATGTCATACTCACACCTGCCCTTCCTGTCAGCACAGAGTGATGTGGTCACCTCCAGACCACAGAGGGACTAGCCAGCTGATCCACACTGCAGCACCACTGCAGCAGGCAGACCTGCACAGGGACAGCAGCCCGAGGAGAGGAAAGGATTTCACTTGCCCAGAGCCAGACAAAACCAGGTCCTCATGCTCTACACGTAGCAGGGCAGGAGGACTATAAATTGGATAAAAGTCCATCAAATGTCTGCAATTAAGTTATTGATTTTCAAGGCTGCCTCATTAAACTGGGTACTTCACTCCAACTGTCCCTGTGATGGCCTTAATTCGACATCATGTTCAATTTAACAAAAGCAGGACCCAGGACATGAGGGTGGGGGCAGGAGCAAAGGGGCTGAGATCTACAGAGATAAAAGAAGGGAGAAAGGAAGGGAAGCCTACCCCTACCTACAGACACCTTGAGAAAGGAGGTGGTGTGACCAAAGCACAGTGACAAAGACCTGTGAGGACAGGCTACCCTGTTTCATCTCTAGCACCAGACTCAGTGCATCCCAGGGGTCAAGCACTGGCACCAGTCAGTCAGAAGCAGCCTCTGTTTCTATGTCAGGAGGCAGATATGCAGCTGAAACCATCCAGAGGAGGATGAGGAACTTCAGTCCCTGGTGCCTTCCTCCTCCTCTGTCAGGAGACCACAAGCCCAGAGCCTGCAGGCAAGCCAGGGATTTCCTGCACCAGCCCTGCCTGGACTCAGGCAGGAGATGAGGCAGCACAGACATCAGTGCTGCTGTGAGCAGCTGGGATGCACACACTCCCCCCAGTCCAGTTCACTCTGAACTCCTGGAAAGGGTGTTCACTGAGGGAAACGAGCAGTTACCATGGTTGCTTTTCATTCTCCCTGGCAGCCTTCTCAGAGCTGCAGCTCTGCTGATAACAGGAGAATCCCCCTCATCGGTCTTCAGCAACAAGCTAGTTTGAGTCAACTTATTTATGCTTTGCTGTCTCCAGTGAAGTTATGGTGCATCCCTGCCAGGCACGTCCAGATTTTACACCACGGCAACACTGGCTCTCTGCCTCGCAAACAACTGTTTAAGAAATACTATTGCTGCATTTCCTCCTCCTCTGCCTGCCATAACACAACTCCTTCAAGCAGGTATGAGCCAAGGCAGATCACTCCCACACCAGCACTGCACATTCCCTCGGGCAGCCTGGCATGATCCCTTGGGAATTTTCTGATCAGAAAGCAAAAAAAGGGACCAGAGAAGGGAAATGACACCAGGGTCTCCAAGTATCCTTCTCCCAGCTGCAGTAGAGGAGCCTGCTAGGGATGCTGGAGGTGCCAAAGTCTGAGAATCACAGAAGGCAGTGCCTGCCCCTGGGAACAAGAGAGGGCTCTCTCTGCAGAGCCTGGCAGCAATCAGCTGAGAGCCCAGTGTCCACAGCAGCACCCACTCCTGCACCTGCAGCACAGGCACAGCCTGCTGACTTTGCACAAACGTCCCACGCTCCAAGAACCACTTGTTCCTGCCGAGGGTTAGGAGATTCAAAACTCACCTACAGGAACCCAAGCCCATCAGTTTATTTCCCTGCCCTTGCCCTGTACACCCTGTGTCAGAGCTGCACACTTGCAGACAGAGCAGGTACCCCAAGGACCCCACCACAGCCTTCTGTTCCAGCCCTCTTTGTGCAGTCATCCCAAACCAGGGATCACGAGAGACAGGCTGGCCACTAAACATTTGCACCAGACTCTGCAACTCATGCTGCTTCCCCCAAGATGCATTCATTCAATTGCACAACTCACCTCCTAATCCATCCCTATCAGACACAGCTGTACTCCCTGCGCTCCAGTATTTACCTGAATGCTGCCAAACTGCAGAGTTTGAAGAGGAGGCAGGATCTGTGCCCACCCAGAGCAGTGTTTGTGTCACCATTCCAAGCCATGCCTTGGACAGGCGAGGTAGGCTGCTGCTCTCAGGCTTCCTGTGCCAGCACTGAAAGCTCCTGGCCCACAGCTGCTGGGCACTCCCAAGAACTGGAGGAACAGGGCAGGAGATCCACCTCCAGGTCCCAGGGGTGAGCCCCAAGTTTGGGACCAGAGTTTTCTGCTCTAGGGCAAGGGAAACCAAGCAGCACAAGCATTGCAACAAGATACCTCCACTCAGAGGCAGAGATGGGCCACAGTGCCTTTGGGCTGCAGCCAGCAATGCCAGAGGTGATGAAGGCTCTGCCCTTCCACACCTGCCCTCACAGCATCTCATTAACAAAAGAGCAACATCAGCCAAGTAGGGAACACTGACCCACTTTGTGCCTTGACTTCTTGTCTGTAAAGGTGCCTGCTCAAGGTCACCTAAAGGGTATCAGGAATTAACTAGCTTAACTTTCCAGCATCCTCCCCTAACCTCCACTTACCCCTTTCCCATCCTTCTCTCCCATTCTCTTTCCATGTGAAGAGCAATGGTACTCAATTTCAGCTTAACCTGGTCCCCTCCTTCCTCCTTTCCCGGGCTCCCACCCTGCTCCAATATCAGTCCCTGCTCTCCAAGCACAGCACTGCCCACAGCAAGTACAGAATGTACAGCTTTTATTTAGTTTTCTGGCACATGCCTTAGCCATAAAAGATACACTAAATAAAATCTAAACATCCATCATGTACTGTATCACCCGCCTCCCGTAACCAAGAAGCCTGAGCCCATATCCGGAGAGATAATTAGACATGTAAAATGAGATAAGACCTTGGTTCCTCCCCCGACAAGCTCACTCCACAGATCAGAGGAAACCAACAATTTTACATAAAAATTAACAGGTCAGAGTCGATCTCTTATTCTCCCCCTGCAAAGGTGAGATCTGGCACAGCAGATCAAACAAATCCTGATTTCCTCCAGAAGGAAGGGGGAGCAAGACCTTCACGTCCAGAGCAATACTTCCCCCAGCCTGGCTGACTGTGGCTGCCAGCCATCCTCTGTCCCCATGGGCCCTGCTTGGGCTGTCCCCATTCCACACCCGGAGCCATCCTGGAGACCTGCCAGGGCCAGCAGCCAGCCCTGAGCCCTGCCAGCAGCATCCCTCCTCTGCTGTGAGCAGGGGCAGCAGGGCAGGGAGGGGCTGCCCACACCGAGAGGTGCCCCCCACGCCCCAGGAGCTGCGGGATGCAGGACCTGCATCTCTGCAGGGTCCCTTCCCCTGAGGGCAGAGCTCAGCCCCCACAGCCACCCTGCCACGCTGAGTGTCCCCAGGGCTGGCAGGGCACAGCAGCTCAGCCCAGTGCCCTGGATGGGATGGATGGGGCTCTGCAGGGCATTGCAATAGCAATGCAGGCCTGTCCTGGCATCTGTGACTGCCTTCCCACAGGACCCAGAGCTCTGGGGCCAGTCCCAGCGACCCTGCGTGAAGAAGGCTGAGAGCTCCAGACCACTTGCTATGCCACTCACTCCAAACACATTCAGCTCAAAGAAATGTTGACAGGCAAACTCCAAACACACCCACGAGCAGAGAAGCCCTGCACTGAATCCACAAGTAAGTGGCTGGGACCTGTCACTTCCCCAGGGACAAGCACAGCCAGGTTCTGGGCAGGCAAAGAGGCAGATGAGCAGCAGGAAAAAACAGCACTTGCTAAACTTGACTGTGTCTCCTCATGGCAGCAGTACCCTTCTGCAGTGAAACCAGGAGCCTCCATTTGCTCTCCAGACCAGCTCTGGGGCTCAGATCCACCTTCATCTCAGGCAGAGACCAGGGAAACTTTCTGGCCATGCTGAGAGCCCTTTCTGTGTGGATCTGGCCAGCTCCAGGACAGCACTCGGGCACTTCAGCCCTGCAGAACATCAGGGACCCTGCCAGGAGTGCTGTGTCACGCAAAGCCACATTCCCTGGCCTGATGCCAGTGTGCAGCACTCTCATGCCAGGTGCCTGAGTGCCATGGGGCAAAAGGCAGGTGGGATTTTATAAACAATGCAATTTACAGCTTTTGTCTGGCCCCAAACACCTGCAGTGGCTGATGCACCCCAGACACATTCAGGACATCAGGGAAAAAATGAACTAGAGTAGCTTTAAAATTACTGGAGCAGAAATGAGTTTCTTGCAATCTTGTGAACATCCTGACTTGGTAGAAAGCCAGGCCCAGAGAAGATTCACTGCACAACCCCACAGGACAAGCCCAAGGGCAGTAACCTGATGGGGTACAATTGCTCCAATGTGCTACTGGGAAACTTCTTTTGGGCTGTCTGGCCAGAGAAAGGCACTGCACAAAGCACCCCAGCCCCTGGCATGGAGCAGGTAAACGTGGTGCCATGGGGAGCAAACCAAAGCATCCCATGGAGAAGCTCAGGTTCCCTGAGGAGCTGCCAAAGGCAGCCTGGATGAGGTCCTCACTTGGACAGGGCAGTGTTTGGAGCCTATCCCATGACCTAGAGCACAGTGCACAAGGGGGAGACTCACTTCACCAAAGACAGACAGGGCAAGCCCCCCCAGCTCCCAGCCACTTGCTTCCAGATACACACAAGTGACTTCAGCACTTTCTAGCAAGTGGGGGGAAATCCGATTGCCTGCAAGTGTTCTGGCTGCACGGTAAACAAAGTGTTTTTCTCTGCTTCCAGCACAGAGATTAAACAATTTCTCTTCACAATAATCACTTCTGCATTTAGCCAGCTGTGTGCTGGAGTCAGGGCTTGACCCCAGGTTTCTGTCTGTAGAGCCAAATCGCCTCTAATCTGGACATGGTGGTACACAGAGAAATGAGAGTGAAATGCACCAAGGGAGGAGTGATGTTCTGATTGAAGCATATGCCTTTCCTGGCATGCTCCTCACTCCAGGCCCTGCCTGCTCCCCAAGGATCCCACAAGTGAGCTCTGGGCTGCAACATCTACCTTGTGCAACCAACAGAGTTGTCTAACAGGAGGCACCGTGTGTTGGATTTGGGCTCACACCTCAGTGCAGCAGACAGCTGTTAAGCAGACCTCAGGGAGATCAGGAAAGGAGCCCAAAATACAGCTAATTTTAGCACCTCCTGTAACAAGGTGAAGCTCCTGCCGTTCCAGGCAGTTGGCTGGGTCCCATCCTATATCCTTCTGCGGCTGCAGGTCTCTCCCTTTGGTGCTGGATTCTGCTCAACTCTGATATTTTAGAGAGATCCACCCAGGGGTATCCACAGAGGCTGAGCCTGGGGTGCCAGCACAGAGCAGCCTGTGAGCTCTCGACCAGCAGCCTCTCCAGGACAGCAGTGAAGCTGTAAACAGGATTTGCAGCTCAGGCCCGTCCTGCACACACACTGCTCCTTGGTATGCATGCTGTAGGCACAGGGGAGTCAGTGAAAATACTCCCCAGGAGCCCCTGCCTTCCCTAGCCTGGGTGACTCCAGGGCATTCCCTCCAGCCCAGCTCCCTCTGGGGGCTGAGCAGGGACCTCTCCATCCCTCTGCAGACCCATCTGCCCTCCCTGCCTGGCTGCAAACCTCCCACAGCAGTTGCACTACTGCTCCTGATGCCCCAGGCCACATCAGGTTTCTCCAGAAAAGCCAGTTGCTGGTTTTGCAGCTGGTTCTGCTGTGCCAAGGGAGGCCAGATAAAGCTATTGGGTCAGCTTCCACTTTGGATGTGCTTCTTCCAAGTGCAGGATATCCCTGTGCAGAAAACAATGACTTCTCCAGCCTGGCTCATAGGCTGGGGCTAGCTCCAGGTACCACCTCTGCCCTTTACAAATCCCTTATCCTCCTGACCATCCTGCATCTGCCACTTTTGATTCATCAGATAACAACAGCAATCCCTTTCCTTTTCCCTTTGCAGAGGTTTACAGTGAGTCTGGATGAGTTCATGGAAGACAGATATTAAAGCTGACTAAACCCCCAGAAACCACCCACAGCCAAAGAAATTTCCAAGCTGAAAACAGATGCTGGCTGGGAGAATATTAAAAGGAGCATCACATGTCCTGTGTGTGCTGTTCCTCCTTCCTAAGAATGCACTTTGGCCACTGCCAAGGCAAGATCCTGGAACAAAGAGGCCTTTAGTCCACCCTCAGTGTCACAGTCTCAGGCAGCACATACAAACACACTGCCCTGGCCCCAGCACAGAGCAAGGGGCAGCTATGCTGCAAAGCACTCCCAGTTACTCTGAGAGTTTGTGCACTTCTCTCATTTGTTATTCCCTCTTAGACACTAGGAAATCAAATTACTTTCCCTCCCAATTAGTACTCCTTCATTATGCAAATAATGTCCTTTGATCTGCTCCTGCTGTCACAGAGCGGATCTGACTGTATTTGGTTTATTCCTCTTCACGCCCCAGGAAGGCACCCACCTCTGGGAGCTGTGACTCTGCTTTTGGCAGGGAATGGAGAGTGCAGCTGAGAGCTGCCTTGAGTGAGAACAAAAACCACCCAAGCACAAACCCCAGTGAGGTCTGGGAAGGCAAGACCATGAGAGGAGGAAGAAGAGGCCACCCTTAACTTTTCAGGCTGGGATACAGAGCAAAGGCTTCAGAGCAGCAGAGACAGGGAATGAGCAGCTCCCTACAGCTCCAAGCTGGAGAGCAGCCCTGCCCTTGGAGTGGCCCCATCCCAGCCCTTTCTCCAGCAGAGCACAGCTGAATCCAAGTGGTGCTGAGAGCAGGCATGGCCACCAGCAGTTCCCTAGGCTTTGATCTCGATACACTAATAGCCAACCTAAGTTCTCCAGCCTTCATTCTCCTGCTTGGCCAACACCAAGCTGGGATCACCTCCATCCACTCAGGCAGGCAGCAAGGCATACTCCCCATTCAGTCAGACAATACCCCACAGCTCTAGGGGAGGTGCTCTGACCAGCCCAGAGACAGCAAATGTCACTATCAACACCAACCACAACAAAGCCATGAGCACATCTGCATCCAGCCTTGATGCCACAAAAGGAGCACTCCCACACTAAAAGGGCTTGGCAGGTCTCTTCCCACAAGAATATCCCGAACTTGATCTCTCTGGCCCAGCAGCTTCCCATATCCTGCACCCTCAGCCCTTCCTACAGCATCTGGAGCTGAACTTCTCACACCAGGTCCACAACCAGCCCTATCTACCCCCCAGCTGCTGAACCTCAGAGGGTCGAGCAGAAAGTTCCTTGCCAGCCCTGCCAGTTTATGCTTTCACAGGATGTGTCCATCTTGTCCTTTGTGCTGTCTGTTCCTGGGCAAAGTGCTGGTTAGCCAAAGAAGAAGTGGGAGGGAGCTGGGGACTGGCAGCAGCAGCAGCATATGGGTCCCTCCAGCTCTTGCACTCACTGATGATGTGTGAGGGGAAGATGATGCGTGAGGCCCTCCCTGGGCTGTCTCCAGGGCAGGGCTGCTCTGGAGCAGCAGGTACACTCCCCAGGATGGCCGGACTGCAGAAGGCTCCGAGGCTGTGGCAGGCAGGTACCCTGGAAAGCAGAACAGGCTCTTGGCTCCAGCTCCCCTCTCTAAGCACACAGCTGGCAAATGCAGCCCACGCCGTTCACAGCACTTCTCTTCACTTTTAACTTCCGAGCATTTTAATTTGCAGGAATCGCCTTCTTTCATGTTGTGAAACCGTGTTTCTTTCTCCCTCTGATCTCCAATTTCGCATAGAAACTGTCTCCTTTGATATGTCTTGTTCACATCAGTCTGATCAGGCAGCTCCATAATTGTTAGTGATTTTCAAAGAAGTGGTATCCTTGTCTAATACCCAGAGTTGAGAATTCCTTGCGTTTGAAAATGTTGTCCAAGCAAATCAGATTAATTTAATTTCTTTCTTCCCTTTGGGAGCAGGATGCCTCTTGCTTTGGTGCCCACATGCTGTCTTTCATTTCTCCAGGAGCACCCAGCAAGAGTTCAAGGGGTCACTCTCTGACTGAGGGAAGGATTTACAGAGGTAACTAGAAGCAGGAGAGCTTGGGATGCCTCAGAACTTGTTCTCCATACATGAAGAGAATCCAGGCAGCAGCAGCTCCTCTGGTGCGGGCAATTCCTGTACATCTGTACCTGCTGGAGGCCATGCACCAGCCTTACGATATGCTGCACACGAACCATGGAGAGCTGGAGCTCTGTCCTGAGGCAGTGCAGACCCGAGCACCATTCCCTGCACTCTGCTGCCAAGATGCCTCTGCAGCCAGAGCTTCCTGCAGCAGCACAGCAGGACCTGGTGGCTGCCCTGAGCTGGCCTCACACGCCCCTGGTGCAGCTCAGCTGCTGCCCCTGCCCTGGGGCTCTCTGCTGTTACTGCTCCCTGTGCTCACTCATCCCTTGCTGACAGGGCTGGGGCCCTGCCTGATCTTCGATGTCAGCCTTTCACAAGCTTCTGCTACCCGGACACAGCCTTTGGGAGCAGTGATGTACAGGTCCTGCTTGCAGCACATGCCGGCACACACAGCCTGCCATGGGGGTAGCAGAGAGCCCAGCGTGCACAGGGAACGGTGTGGCTTCAGGCAGTGCAGCACCAGCCATTCTCCTGGACTCCAGCTGTGCTCACGGCATGGGAACCCAGCAGAAGCGAGGGCAGCCGTGCTGCAGCTCACACATCACCTCCCTGCATTCCTCCCGAGGCTTGGTGAGCACAGAGCTGACTGTCCTGCTCTGCCATCCCAGCAGGATGGACTCCTGCAGCCCCATCACCCCAGCCCGGCCCTCAGAGCTTCAGTGAGGCTGATCACCAACGCACTCAAGAGGGGCCTGGTGCCAAGGGGATGGACAGCTAAGGCTAACACAGGGAAGCCACACTTCTGTCACAGGGACATGAATTCCCCAATCTCAGCCAAAAAGGCCTGGCCCCTCAGAGAAGAGCAGATCCAGCTGAGAAGGGCCTGGCAGTTCTGCATGGGGACACACAAGGGGATGATGTCTGGGCTCAGAAGAACAGCAAAGCAGCACACAGAGGATGGCCTGAGCTGGGGGAGAAGCACCACCCAGACCAATCTGAACCACAGGCAGACTTGAGCCCCTTGATTTGTGAGGGTTTAGTCCAACCACCCAGCATTTAGGAGGGAGGGGGCTGCGCAAAGCCACAGTCAATGCACAGCAGGCAGCTGCCACCACCACCACCACCCATCCCCAGAGCACGGCTTAGGGCTGAGACTGAGCGCTCAGCCAAAGGCTGGCAATCAGCTCAGAGGATTTATCCACTTGTTTTCCTTAAGCCACCTTATTTATTTCTCCCTTTTGGCTCCCTAGCTCTGGAATCCCTGAGATTTGCAAGTGGTTTTTGTGAGGTACAGCAGGCTCAAGGTTTGACAGGAGCGAGGTGCAGCTTTCCCAGCCCACGCTGCCCCTCAGCCGACCTACCGACGGGGGACAGCTCCGCCACGCTGCCGATGTAGGGCCCCTCCAGGAAGCGCGGCTCGCTGTCGTTGATGTCCTGCACCTTGATGATGAACTCCGACTCGGGCTCCAGCAGCTGGTCCGTCTGCCGGTCCCGGGCCTGCGCCCGCAGCGTGTAGAAGGTTTTCTGCTCCCGGTCCAGGCGCTCGGTGGCGTGGATGTCACCTGTGATCTCATCGATGAGGAAGATGGTCCCTGCGCCCTCCCCGGAGATGGTGTACTTGATGGAGCCGTCTCCCTCATCCGAGTCCGAGTGGATCTGCCAGGGAAAGAGGGAGAGGGTGGGAGCAGGCTGGGGCTGTGCTTGTACCCAACCCTAGCCACCTGCACAAGATGCCCATGGTCCCTGTGTGATGCCCCTCTGCTTACTCTGCTCTTGTTGGACTGGACAGTGACAGAGAGCATCACCAGACAACTCCTGTGCATAAAGGAAGGCCCAATAAACTGGAATTTCAGGCCTCCTGGTACAGCTCTGCAGATTACAGATTCTGCCTGTGCCCACCCCCACTACAAACCAAGGGAAAAATCCCTTTAATAAGGGGTTACGAGATGATGGAGAAGCAAAGGATAACTCAACTGCACTCCAAAGAAAGAGGCTTCCCTATGGGCAAGGACCCAGGACTCTGGCAGCATGGGATCACCTCTCCCAAGCTGCACAGGTGCCTCACCATCAGCATCCCTCCCCTTCTATGCAACCAATTGCCCAAAGTCCATCCTCATCCACCTGCTTTGCCTCAGCCACAGCTACCTCCCATGATTTGGGCAGCTGATGCTGTCAAGTCTCCCTGCTGAAGAGCTCACACACTTGCTGCATCCCTGTACTGGGTTTATGTTGCAGGGTAACAAGGGTCACAACATCCTATCATCATGCCCAGAGCCCCACTTGGACAAAATCTACAGAAGATTTTGACAAAATCTTGATTGTGACAAATCAGCTCATGTTCAGGACTAAAAACAGACCCTGAGGAAGATGCCTTTGCAGGCAATCTCTGCTGCTTCATTTTTTAATTAAGACAACGTTTGGAACTGGGAAAAGAAAGGGTAAACAGCAGTTCCCCACGGACCAAGAGCTGACTGGAATCCAGGCCAGACGTCCAGAGATAATTTTATTGGTGGCATTAAACTGAGTTATGAGGTTTTTACAATCCAGCCACTTATGAGAAATCTATTAACAGTAACTGGACAGGCAGAATGCATCTTGACAGTGAGCAGCATGGGCATTAATTGGGACAATCCATAATGGGACAGGCCCCCGGAAAGGTTTCATCAGCTGCTTTCATTTGTTTCCTACAATTTTTGCTTAGAATCAGCAAATTCATGTCCCCCCTCCACAAAAAGAAAAAAGCCGTCCATTAATCGGCTAATGAAATATGAAAATGTTTATGGGCCATTCAATCTTCCAAACTGCAGTTCTATAATCCACCTTTCAGACATACAGCTCTACCAGCAAGAATTTATACCAGAGCTGCCTCTTTTTTTACGATGCCTTCATTATATTTGTCTTGTTAGATACAGTTTATGTATTTATTTCACAAGTGAGGGACCCACACGTTAGGCAATTCAGTGCATTTTGCACGACATTCACAGATTACTGCCCATGGTGACACATCTATCAAGGCTTGCCTGGAAGGAGACCTTCACTCAGCTCACAAATGGGGCTGTGAGCCCAGCAGAGTTTGGGACCACCGTGATGTCTTTGGCTGCAAATGTGCCTATGGGGTGGTCACCCCACCCTGGCTGCCTGGAGCATCCTGCCCTGGTCTGTGGGGATGGTCATCCCATCCTGGCCATCCAGTCCCAACCCTCCCCGCTGCCTGCTGGAGAGCTTGCTGCCCTCTTCACTTCATCATGCTCTCCCAGTTCTCACTGCTACTCCGTGAGCTTTTCAGAACGAAGAAGGAGCAGCAGGTCTGTACAGCGCAGGCAGCAGAAACCTGCATTTTCTGCTGAACACCGGGCTCATGATTAATAATTAGGCTGGAGATAAAGCAGCCAGCATCACATTGAGCTCTCAGCACATCCTCTTCACATATTTGCTCATCACTGACTGCTTGGAGCAGACACCAGCATCCCTGCAAACCGGAATGCTAGGAAGAAAAATGGAGCCTGGGCTCAAGGGGCTGCAGAGATTGATTTACAGGGGAAGATTAAAAGAGCTAAATCTGTGCTGCTTGGCTAAACAACAACTAAGGGGGGAGGGCTGGATTGCAGACTACAGAAACGCGAGGGGAGATGCCAGAGACCCGACCACATCCCAGGGATATCTCTCCTCCCTGTTACAGCAGGCTTGGGGAGCACCACTCTCTCGCTCAGCCTCAGGGCTCCCTCCACCCCGGGCATGGCAAGAGACTGAAGTCACACAGCTCTGGCACACGCTGTGCCCCACGGGCAGAGGGACCACCCAGCCCTGCCTGCAGCTCAGCCCCAAGCAAGGACAGCAGTGCCTGCAGAACTGGGACATCCAGAGGGCAGACAATGGGCTGATCTGTCCCATTTGTTAAATAGAAAAATTGTTTCCTCGTCCTAAAAAGAAAGAAAATCAAATAAAAACTAGCCCATAATAAAGGCGCACTCTGTTTGCTCCAACTCATAAAGCCCGAGTTCATCAATTTTCTTTAAATATTAGCAACTTAATTAAATCTGCTTTTTTCCCTTTAATCCTCTCCTCTATCTAAAATAGATCTGTCCACATGCAGAAGTTTGTAACTAGTGCTGACCCCATAATTCTATTTAAAAAACCCAAAGAAATCCACATCAAACTGACAGCAGCCTCAGGGGAAATTACAGTTCAGAAGAAGGATTAGCTAGAGAACCCAGATTTTATGGAAATGGTATCGGCCCAGCAGAAAGCACATGTAGGTGTGTGAGAGGCATCCACGGAGGGCAAGCCCCAGCTACTCTGCAGGGTTCCCCAGTGCAGGAAGGCTCTGGACCCACAAGTATGCTAAGAGGGCTGGCACACGGGACAAAGAGTGTCCCAGGTGAGCACTCCATCCTCTCCAGCAGCAGGGAAAGGCTGGCCCTGCTGGCTTCCAGCCCTGGGGATCACAGGCAGTGATGTCAGTGCTGCTGCTGTGAGCCAGGCAGGGGATGTGGCGGCTGATGTGGAAAGGGGCTGTAAAACGGGTGAGTTGCAGGTTTTGGTTCAGTTGGAGCTGAGGCTGAGGCGTTGCCAGGCCTGTGACAGGGCTCAGTGCCTCCGCTGCTCCCAGGGGAGCCATGAATTAGCTGTGCCTGCTCCGAGGGCGGCGAGGAGCGCGGCTTGGAGTGTCTGCTGAAACGGGCACAAATCACTGCTGAAATCCCTGCTGGCCCCCAGCCAAGAAACCCATTTTCAACCTCCTCCAGACTCATGCCCAGATGGCTGAGGCCATCAGACAGCCCTGCTGTACAAGCTCTTGGGCACTTTCCTTCGGGCTGAGCCCATGCCTCCAGCTCTAGCTGGATTGTAGTGTGTTCCTCTGACTGGTCCCAGCTAGCACTGCCTTCACCCAAATACAAACACCACGTCTGCCTGACACGAGGGGCAGCTGCTTCTCCAAAGCTCCCAGAAAAGGATAAAGCCCAACAATCCCAAGGTGAAATGCTCCTTCAGCCTCAGGACACCAGGAGTGGAGGGAGCAGAGGTCCATGTCCAGCCTTCCCAGGAGGTCACACACCAGGGAATTGTGGTGAGCTCCCACCTGCAGACCCAGTCCTGCCCAGCAAGGCAGTGTCACCTGCCAGCAGCTCCCACAGAGACAGGGCTGCTTGCACCCACCCCCAGACATCACAAGAAGCCAGTATAAGACTGTAAGAACGCAGATGTAAATCTTGGTGTGTCCTTTTATCATCTCTGGGAGCATATTAACCTCACTACCCCCAGCAGGGACCAGGCTCCTGTCATTGCAGTCCACAGAGTATCTCTCTAGCCAGGCTCCTGTGAACAACCTCCACATGAGCCCTCTCTCTGCTCAGCATTGCCAGCATGTCCCCCCTCCCCCTAGCTCTGTCAGCCCCATGGAGACATCAGGTCAGCTTACCTTCCCCACATACAGCGGCTCCGTGCCCGTGTACTCCTCCACCACAAAGAACTGATTCCAGACCCAGCCCCGCTTCACTCGCCCGCTGGCCAGCAGTGCAGGATCCCCGGGCTCCCCGAGGCCAGGGCCCTCCACCGCCGTGTGCATGGCCCAGGAGCCCAGCTCCTGGATGGCGCAGAACAGCAGCAGCATGGTCCACGAGCAGCCCTGCACACCCTTCGCCATGGCACTCTAGGAGGCTGCATCAGCAGGAGCTTCTGGATGTGCAGCCAGCATCCTTTAGGGAAAAGCAGGAGGAAAGTCGGCACTAGCAGCGTGAGGCTGCCCGGTCAGCGCAGAGCATCCCCGTCCCTGCTGCATGCCGTGCCCTGCAGCTGAGCGCTCCTGTCCTGCGTGAGTCACATCTGTGACAAGAGGCGTCCCGGGCTGCCCGCTGCTGCCGTGGGAGCAGTCAGTGCTGGTGCCTCGCAGGCTGCTCCTGGGTCTCCAGAGAAGAGTCTGGCAGCTGGCATTTGTCCCCCGGGACAGAGCTGCAGGGCTCCCTGCTCGGGTCTCGCTGGGGAAGGGGGCGATGCACGGCCTGCTGCCCACCCCGCCGGCAGGCACACGGGGCACGGACACCCACTGCTGGCATTCACAGGAGGAGAAGGAAAGCTCTTCCACAAAGGCTTTTGCAGAGGAGTTAACAGGATGAGCTGCTGTGGCCAATGTCTGCCTGCCCTGTGGCAGTCTGGGACTGCTGTGCAAGGTGTGTGGCAGTGCAGGTGTCTGTGCAGTTCACAAGGCCATTTGTAACTCCCATCTCCAGAGGGACACCATCCCAGTGCCTGGTGAAGGGTCCTTTGCCCAGATGACTCCGGTCACTTCCATTCTCTGCTGGCTCACACAGGGAGGTGCAGCGCAGTCAGCAGCATCTCCAGGAGCCTGGAAAAAGCCAAGATGTCAGAGCTGGTATGAAAACACAGCCCAGTGTCCCCTGTGCTGCTTCTGCAGCCTTGCTCAGTATCTCCTGCCCTGCCCCAGGTGCTCCAAAGCAGGGCCAAATCCCACAGGTCCTGCCAGAGCAGGAGCACGAGAGGGAGGGCTGCAGAGCTCTCAGCACAGCAGACATCTGCTCCAGCAGGGACTCAGAGACCAAGGACCCTGCTGACAAAGGCACCCCCTCACCACATGGTCCTGGCTGTTGAGAGGAGTGAGGTCTGCGTCTGGAGGGAGTCACTGGTGCCCACCCACACTGTTAGGGGATGTATAGCATCACTCCTGGCACAGCACAGCTGCCGGTGCCTGCACAGGACCAGACCACAGCAGTCCTGCACAGGCAGACAAGGCTCACACTGAGGGATACCAGCACCTGAGCATGGGAGGTACAGCCTGTGCAGACGCCCCTGCAAGCCCTCCCTGCAGAACCTTTCTGTCATCTCACCTCTGCAGCCACGGGCAAGAGAAAAGCATCTGCTCAAGAATTTGCCACCTGGCTGACTCTAAAGGTAACAGTTTGAAAAAGGGCTCTGGTGTAAGCTTCAAGCCATCCTCAAGGCACTAGGGGCTGAAGCATGAGACCTTTAGCCAAGGGTACATTGCACCCAGTGAGCACATGGAGAGAAGACGACTCATCAGGAGATGGGGCTGCAGTGTCTATCTCTCCCTGCACCAACACCCTGAGGTCCAGCAGAGCTCTGCAATACCAGCCACAGCCTGATCTACTCATGAAACATGCACCAGTCTGCAGAATTCATCTCCTGTCGGCTGTTACTCTTAGTAGGAGGCAGAAAAAGGGTGAATGGAAACGCAAATGATCCTGGACTAGATGTTCATCTACTCCCCACAGAAAGGGAACTGGACTGTACTTTGCACTGACCCCTGCATGAATGTGAACAGTTCAGAGGAGGGACAGCTCCCACATATTTCTCCAGCCCTTTCCCTCACTTGCCATTCCCCAGTGTGACTCCACCAATGGGACTGCTTCCCAAACAGGGAATTTCTGCTGCACTCTTTGCTGTCTGCATTCACCTGTCTGGAACCACAATGCCTCATTCTACACTGTCTGTTCATGGCTCACAAGTTGTGTGTCACACAAAGAGCACAAATCTATTCACCAAAAGGTCTCACACACATCATCCCACCCCAAGCACAGCTAAGATCACTCATACACACTGGCTTCTTTTCTCTATTTGTGCCTCACTAGTGTGCACATACATTTCCTCCCCATGTACACACACTGCCTGTCACACATGCACATCAGCTGTCACATGGGCCAGCCCTGTGCACTTCATGCTCCAAGGAAAACAGGGTCTCCAGAGAATTTTTATGTTAGCAATCATGGTACAGAAGCAGTAACAGTGCTCCCCACTCCTCCTCCTTGCCAGCCCATTTATTATAAAGGTATTTTCACACCAGCCAGGTGAGGCTGTTGGCAATGCCATGACTGTGTCTTGCAGGCAGGCCTCCCCATGCAGAAGTACTTCCTCCTCCCAAAGGGCAGCTGGTGAGGATCCCTATCAAACACCAGAGTATTTAACACTGCACACTGAGGGGAGATGATCTGTTAGGTGGGGGACAGACTAAGCCATCTCTTCCCTTGCAGAGGGTAAAGAAACTTCACAGAGCAAATGCAGAGTTTGGGGTCCCTGTTCTGGAGCAATGGAGCCTGCCCAACCCACAGCAGGCTTCAGAGCAAGACACAAAAACAGCACAAGTGCAAGTGTGCTTTATCACATTTACCTGGGTACACAGAAGATAAATACAGCAAGACATAGTTCATCACTGTCACAAACAGCACCTCTCCAAATTCTCACACCTAGGAGATCTCTGGTTATTTTGGAGTAGGTTACCCAGATAGTGAGACATGTCAATAAACTGAGCAGCATAAGCTGTGCCAGAGCAAGAGTTTCAGGTCAGCAAGAGTAAACAGTGAGCGTGGGAAGAACACCCTACCCAGCATCTCTGCCTGTCACTCTGCAGCACTTTTGCAGACAACACCTCCGGTTGCATCCAAAATCTGAGCACAAGTGAGTTGTAGTTGGTAAACTCAACTGCCAGAAAGAGAATTTAAAAAGTAATCCATCTGCATGTGGTCTTAGGACAATTGTGTCAGCCAGAGCCTTGGGGAGAAGCAGCCACCACCTGCTGAAGTCTCCCATTCTGCCCACCCAGCATCCTGTCCTTGCCATCCAGGAGCAGATCCATCCACACTGATTTATAAAGCCCTGCCAGAAGCCTGACAAGGCAGCAGTGCCATTGCCAGGGTGCAGTTCTGCAACATTGAAGGCCTTCTGAGCACATGGGGAGGCTGCAAGGAAGCCAGTCCAATGGAGCAAATCCTGGCACAACTAACATCAGCATCCAGGGTCTCCAACCAAGCTGGCACATGAAGGCAGCACATTGCCACTGTCTCCAGAGCCCAGGACTCAGGGCACACAGCTGGCAGAGAGCACCAGCACTGGCTCTGTGACAGCAGGAGGAGCCACCTTCACTCCCCTCAGCACAGCGCCTGATTTCCTGCGTGCCACAGCTGCCCCAGGCACACACGGCAGACAGCCCTGTGCACACACAAATGGAACTGCTCCTTGCTCAGAAATGGACACTGCGCCACCCTGTCAGCCTGACCAGAGCTACAGCACACCAATGGAAGCAGCACAGTCCCAAACAGCATCAATAAACCAGTAACAACAACAGCTTAAATACACACACTGAGGCAAGGCAGGAAAGAGGAAGTGAGGGCAGAAGATGCTGCCATGGGGAGCTTCACTTGAGCAGAGCTGCTCCCTGGCTGGCAGACAAGCTGGCCCACAGTTCCCAAGGCAACTTGTTCAGCCCTGTTGAATCTGAGCACTCCACAGAGCAGATTCTGCCATGGAGAGTCCTGCTGAGCACCCATGGGGCTGGACTGCGTTGCTGTGGGAAACACAACCTTATGTATAGTCTCAGCTATGGTGCTGTTTTTTATATTTAACAGATTTCTCATCTGAGCTGATGTGGTTTGCTGGTGATAGTGCCACATGTCCAAAGTTCAGCTACTCTCAGCTGAGCTGTCTGCATGCTCTTCCTGTGGGCAGCAATGCTGGATTGAGTTGCCTCATCCAGGTCCCAGACATCAAAGCCCAACTACAGAACCTGTGGCGACCTCCAGTCCCCTGCACCACAAAATGCAGGCCCAAAGATACATCTGTAGCCAGGCTCATTGCTGCAAACCAGATCCTTCTTCTCCAGTGACAAATCTGCAGCCTGTGTCTCTTCTGTGACAGCTTCAGGGTCATGTCTCTCCTCAGTGTGCAGAACCTTCTTTCCAGCTGTCACATCACAGACCTCTTCCGGAGGCTGCAAAGCCAAGAGCCCCCAGTCCTACTCATGCCCTTGCAGCAGCAGGGGTCAAGACACCCCAGAAGGTCCCATCCACAGGAACCAGGACTAGCACAATATTTATTTCCCTGTGTTATAGAAAACCTTTCACCAACAGCTGGAAGTGCCCCTTCTCTCTGCCACGTGAGAGCAGTGGGGCTGTAAATAAGGAGTGGGAGCTGCTGCTGCAGCCAGCCCAGCCCAGCCCACTGCAGCACATGTGCTCCCACATGGCAGCACTACCACACCAAGCAGGTTTCCATGCCGAGTGTGAAGCACCAGACCCTCACACTGCCCCAGGCCCAGGGTGATGTCCCCTCTCCTGCTGCTCTGCCATCCTGCTTCCAATTATCAGCACAAGTCCCCCATCCCCTCCCCACAGGAGTTCATGCAGTTTGTTGGTGTGCATTTGGCACAGCTACACTGTACATCATGTTGACAGTAGAAATTACATCCTGAGCTTATGTTTTACACTGTGCTCTGTCAGAACTCACTGCAGCCCAGTGATCAGGACAAATTGAATAGCATCCCGTCCATGTCAATATTTATTTCATTTTACAAATGCAGGCTGATGCAGGAGAAAGTAGGCAGGGGGAGGGGGAAGACATGGGCAGGCAATAGCACACCAGGATAGCGGTGCCCAGTACACCACAGTCCTGCATTACAGCCCAGGGAGGACTGTCCCACCCAGAGGCCAGGGAGCATCCCCAGGACCTCATGCAGTGCTCCCATGCATGTAGCTTTACTGGAAGGGTTGGCACACCAGTAATGCTCCTCTGACAAGCCCTAATAATTGGTAAAAAATGCAGAATTGCCCACCAGGTACCAGAAGATGCAAAGGCAGGGAAAGAGAGCCCTCTCATCTCAACCCCAGTCTGCAACCTCAACAAACATGAGCTTGGATGTCCTGCTTTGGCTCCCCACTCCTCCCAGCAGAGTGGCACCAACCACCAGCACAAGCATCAGGACTGCTCCAGCTGTTCAGAACAGCCACCAGGGTGCTACAAAGGCTGCTGAGGAGGAAGGCAGGAGCAAGGCACTGCTTGTGCCACCCTCCAGAATGCAGAGCCACAGCATGAATACCAAGCACAGGAGAGGAGCTCCTTAAAGCCTGGGCTTTCTTCTGCTTTACCACAGCCCTTCCACACCTCAGAGAACACAAGGAAATGAAGGCTGCAGTAGGAGGGTTGCTGGACAGAGGCAATACCTCAGTCCTGACACCCCTGGTATTCTTGCTGGTGGATTAGCTGCCTGCAGAATGAGTTTATGGGAGCACCCCTTACACAGCTCCAGCCCCACTACCCACTTCCAAGGAAGCAGCAGACAGCAGCACAGCATGAACAGTCCTGCATGCAGAATCCCAACCCCATGGCTGAAAACTGGGAGCTTGTGACTCCCATGCTGCCAGAGAGCTGCTCCTTACAATGTGCCCTCCCAAGGGCAGGTCATGCAGGGACAAAGGGGCATGAGAAGAGCTGTGGTGTGCCTGCATCCCCAAGGTCTGCAGCAGGTATCTCTCACCAGTCATGAGGAAGCCACACAGGTCCAGCACTGTTCTGCCAGCTTGGGCACTGACCACAGCTACC